GGAGTGATAACAAAAATCCTCTCTTCTGAGCACCAATCATGAGCCAGATGAGATGCTGGATAGACTGTTTGCATTGGTTCATTTATTCCTCAGAATAGCTCTGTATGTGGGAGTAGTTACCCTCGTTTTCCAGATGGGATCTGAATGTCAGAGAGCAAACTTAAGGGCTAGGTGAAATACTTGGCCCCAGTGGACCCCTATAGGCATTGAGGTCCCATCCATTAGTATGTGACACCTACCCAGCGGGGGAGACCTGAGTGACCTTTCCTCTCAGTGCAGAGCATGACCACTGTGAATGACCACTAAGGGGTCAGTGAGGAAGGCAAATGGTCCCCATGCAGTTGTCAGTTCCCCACAGAAACACTGCGTATAATGAAAACATCAAAACACAACCACACACACTAAACCTTGGAGTGACAGGCATATGTCAGTTTTGTGATAAACAAAAAGCAACATCACACCTACTTGACTCTGTAACAATTTCATCCTCCTTCCCCTACTGCTCATGCATAAATGCAGGAACCCCTATGGGGAGCACATCTTCTACTCTACACATGCAGTCTCTTTTACTTACCTGTAGGAGTAGCCAGATGAACATGCGGGAGTTATGCAGCAGAGAGGGCAGGTGTTAGAGATCAAAGGACTGGTTAAGAGACTGCAGATCACACCCAGAAGTGGTGCCCACTTGCTTAATGGGGACACAACACAGTTGGTGCTTGAACTTTGGGCCAAAGAGGAAAAGAATTCGTTTTGTCATTTACCTCTCTCTTGTCTCTACCTCTGTCTTTTTCAATCTCTGTCTTTCAGTCTATGTATGTATAAATATGTATGTACATACAAATACAAATTCAGGCAGGAGACATTTTTTACTTATGTACAAGCAAGACCCATAAGGAATCCATATGAAGAAACATACTTTTTCCCTCTTAAAATTCACAGCATACTCTGACCTGCCATTCCTTGCTAAGTCATTGATGTTCTAACTCAGTGTCTGTGTCCTCAGCTTCTGTTGTGAACACCAAGCAAAAAGTATGAAGCAAATCTCTCCGAGCCTATGACCTCCTGACTCTGTGTCTGCCCTTGAACTTCAGAGCAACAGCCAGGAGGATGCTATTTTATAAACCATGAGAGAACAAAGAAATAGTCCCTAAACTCTTGGTGAAAAATGCCCGTAGTCTAATTGTCCACAATTCCTGTCAGACCTTGGGGAGGAGCCTGTGCAGAGGCCAAAGAGACACTGGGAACCACCTGGGAGGGTGTCTCAGGTACAGGGGCACTCTGGGTTGCCCATAGATCCAGCTGGGAAGCAGGATGACTTAATCATCTTCCAATACCCATGTGGCCAATGCCCTGGTCAGACAGCATGGGATGCTGGGCTCTGCCTGTCATTCATTGTTGCGCTCAACATGTCAAGTAACTTATCTCAAGCTTGTTTCTTAAGTTGTTTCAACCTTGTTTCACTTTAAAGGGCAGATAACCAGAGTACAATCATTATGAATTTTTTTATTAAAGTTATATGAGATATTTCCTGATAAAACTCTAAGAACATATTAATGTTAGTTCTTTATATATATTCCAAGAAAGCAGAAGTAAATATATGATAATTGATGTTGATATAGTATTGATATGAATGAATAACTCAGCTGATTTATAATTTTAAAAGTCAGTTGCAGTTCTATATGCAAACAATAGATCAGAAGAGAGAAACATGATGAAGACAATCATCTCATTCACAGTTACACAGAAAGAATAGAATACCTAGGAGGAAACATAACAAAGGAGGTGAAGGATCCACACAATGAAAACTATAAGGTATTATTCAGAGAATTATGGATTGGGGCACAGCAGATCTCTCCTGCCTCACCTGCTGCTGCTCTTAGTAGTGTGTTTCATTTAATCTGCCTGTTTGATTCTCCACTCTATCTCTGATGAATTCTTTCACCCTGCACTTTCTGGCATGCACCCAATTCTCCCCCACCAAAAAAAAGAAAATATGGATTGGAAGAATTAACATTGTAACATAGACATATTACCCAAAGAAATATATAGATTTAATACAATCCTGGTGGTAGTTACGGTGTAAAAATATATTTGTAGAGATTTGAACCAATAACCCCTAGAACAAATGCAACAATGTAAGCTAATATAAACATCATATAAATTGAAAATCAATTAAAGACTTGGATATAAGACCCCAAACCATAAAATACAAAGACACCAGAAATGATACGTGTCATCACATCGACCATAGAGACATCTTTAGGGAACTGACCCTGACAACAAAGGAAAATACAACAAAAATAAATAATTAGAACTATAGGAAATTAAAAACATTTTTACAGTAAAAGAAAATACTAACAGATTAAAAAGCAGTCTACTAAGTGGGAGAATATATTTACCCATTACACAACTAATAAGGGATCATATCCAAGATATGCAAGAACCATTTCGACTCGACAAAAACCTAAAATAACCCCACTTCAAAATGGGCAGAAGATTGCAACAGACACTTTTCCAAAGAAAATATAGACTTGGTCAACAGATATATGGGGGGGAAAAGCTCATCTTCACTTCTAATAAAGGAAATGCAAATCAAAATCATAACGAGCTATCGCCCCACTTTTGTGAGAATGGCCATATTGAAAAGAACGGAAACAAACTATGGTGAAGACAGGAAAAAAAAAAAAAAAGAACTCATCCATGGTCAAAATGCAACTTGGTGCAGCCTCTATGGAAATGGTATGGAGCTTTCTTAAGAAAATAAAAATGGGGCCTCCCCAGTTGCACAGCGGGTTGAGCGCAGCGCTGTGAAGCTGTCCGCAGCCCTCCGCAGGGCCGGCTCTATTCCCGGCCAGCCAGGGAAAATCCCACATGGCGAGGTAGACCTCTCCTGTCTTGGCTGCTGCTCCCCTCAGCAGTGCTTTCGGTCCGTCTGCCTGTTCTGCTCCCCGCTTTGTCTCTGGTGAATCCTCTCACCCTTCCACGACTCTGACCTGTAACCCACCTCTTGTATAAATAAAAATAAATCTTAAAAAAAAAATTTAAATAAAAAAGAAAAGAAAAATGAAAAGCTGGGCCTCCCTGGTGGCCCAAGGGGTTAACACACAACCTATGAAGCAATCCGCAGCCTCTACAGCACGAGTTTGATCCCTGGCCAGTGAGCTACCCACATGGCATAGCAGACCTCTCGTGGCTCGCCTACTGCTCTCCTCAGCGATGTAGTTCAGTCAATCTGCCTGTTCTGTTCCCCACTCTCTCTGGTGAATTCTCTCACCCCCCACACCTCTGGCTTGCACCCAAAAATAAATAAATCTTTAAAAAAATGAAAATCTCATATGATCCAGCAACATCTCCATCAGGCATTTACCCCCAGATATGAAATCTCTAACACAAAAAGACTTATGCACCCATATACTCATAGCAGTGCTGGCTACAAGTGCCCAGTATGGAGCCAACCTAAGTGCCCATCAACAGACAAATAGGTAAAGAAATTGTAGAAGATATGTGCCCAGTGGAATACTACACACTGCAAAGTGGATGGTCTCAAGGTGGTGATACTAAGTGAAATAAGTCATAAAATGAAAGGCAGATACTGGGTGGTTTTATTTATATGTGGAATATAAATAACCAAAAACCATAAACTGGTAAAATACAGCAAAAAAAAAAATCTTTGAACTAAGGGAAAATAATGTAGTTGTTAACAGAGAGAGGGCATTAACATGAGTGGTTTAGTGGAGGGTAGTGGAATGTGAACACATGTGGAGTGAAAATATACATCACGATTACAAAATATTTATTTTGTGTTTTTTTTAAAATTTATTTTAACATTTATCATTTTTAAAATTTTTTAGACAATATTTGCTTCCCCCCACCCTCTCAGATTGAGTCCCCATAGAATCTCCTTCCCCAAGGCACCCATGTACCATCACCACAGTCCCCTGTGCTCCTCCCTCCCTCCCTCTGATCCCTCTCCCTCCTCCTCCCCTGCAGGATGTCTCTGGTTTACAATTGTCTGTTTTTGCTTTGTTGTGGTTTGTACTGTTATTATTTTTTTTAACACTGATGTCTTATTTGGTTCCCCTATATTCCTGTTATAAGCGAAACCATCTGATGTTTTTCTTTTTCCTTTTGGCGTATTTCACTGAGCATAATTCCTTCTAGCTCCATCCACGTTGCTGTGAATGGCTTGAGTTTATCTTTTTTGATTGCTGAATAATATTCCATTGTGTATACAGACCACATCTTGATCCAGTCATCTATTTTTGGGCATTTGGGTTGTTTCCAGGTTTTACTTATTGTAAATAGTGCTGCAATAAACATAGGGGTACAGGTGCTCTTTTGAATCACTGTTTTTGTGTCCTTTGGGTAGATCCCTAGTAGTGGAATTGCCAGATCATATGGTAGCTCCATTTTCAGTAGACGGAGGAACCTCATGACAGCTTTCCACAGTAGCTGACCAGCTTGCACTCCCACCAGCAACAATTACAAAATATTTTAAATTAAACGGGCTCGTTCACAGTATTTCCCAATTCCATAGTGTAAGTATTCCCATAATAGCTGACTTCAATCTACCAACATGTCATTGTAGAGTTGGGAAGAGCTGTGAACCATCAACTTGAAGATGAGGCAAGCCTGCTCAGCCCCACCACATAACATCAGTCCACTGGGAGCAGATCACAAAGTTAGACCTGTGTCTTCATAACATAACAGATAAAATACATATGTGACGCTGACACAGCTTACGTTTGCAATGGTGGGAAATATCTTTATAAGATTTTGCACATAACTTGTAAGAGGTGAAAACAAAGTAGAAAAAAGTAAGGTGGATAAAGAATATTTAACAAACCAAGTTACCAAATCTGACCTAGTTGATGCATTAACATCCCTGACAGCAGAATGCATGTTCTTTTCAAGTTACATGGAGTTATCTACCCTCTCACATAATTTTAGGAGATAGATCTCATGGTGTTGGTGACTAAAATCAGATGATTTACAGGTCGTCACTTGAAGAAGTTCACCTTATTGACAAATGTCTCTAAGGCCTGTTTTATATCTCTATTCCTCAGGCTGTAGATGAAGGGGTTCAGCATGGGGGTGACGACTGTGTACATGACAGAGGCGATCATGTCTTTGTCTCTAGAGGTGGATGATGAGGAGAAAAAGTAAACTCCTGCAGTGGTCCCATAGTATAAAGACACGACGAGGAGGTGGGAGCCACAGGTAGAGAAGGCTTTAAAGAGACTTTTAGTGGAGGGGACCCTCAGGACACTGGTCCCTATACGGACATAGGAGCCCAGGACGCCACCCAAAGACAGGCTAAAGAGCAATCCTCCTTCAATGAAGATGACCAACTCATTGAGGGAGATGTCTGAGCAGCTCATCTTCAGGAGTGCAGAGAGGTCACAGAAGTAATCGGGGATGGTACTGTCACCACAGAAGGACAGTTGGGCAAAGAGCAGGGTGTGCAACAGAGAGTGGAAGGAGCTGAAGAACCAGCACCCAGCTACTAAGGAGACACACAGCTCCTGCCTCATGATGGTGGTATAGTGGAGGGGCTGACAGATGGCTACATACCTGTCATAGGCCATCACTGAAAGAAGGAGAGTCTCAAGAGAAACAAAGACCACAAAGAAATACACCTGGGAAATGCACCCCGTATAGGAGATGGACAGTTGTTGAGTGTGCATGTTCATGAGCGTCTTTGGAACCATGATAGATGAAATGGAAATATCAGAGAAGGCCAAGTGGCTGAGGAAGAAGTACATGGGGGTGTGGAGGCATGAGTCCAGCCTGATGAGTAGGATGATGAGCAGGTTCCCCAGCACCGTGGTCAGGTACATGTCCAGGAACAGGGCGAAGAACAGGCCCCGCTGCTCTGGACGGATGGGGACATGCTGCTCTGGTTCTCCCACCTCATGCTCTTTCTGTCTCTACTGTGAATTAGGGAAAAATGAAATGTCAGTGGAGAGGCCATAGTATTTGAGTAATGTTCTTTTTTAGTATGAAAATTCTTAATTTTAGCTACACTTGTGCTATTTCTCATGATTGCTGTAGCTTGAATCAGTCTGCTCTGTCTGTCTCCGTATGCCATCAATCCCCAACCCTTGCCATCAGTCAAATTTATTTCCAAAAATATCAAAGGATATTTATTCTTTTTTTCTTTTCTCTTTCAAAATATTTATTCCTTATTCAATAATTATTTATTGAACAGCAGCTTTGTCTCATATAGAACACATAGTAGTTAACAAAAATGGGCAGTCTCCATATTCATAGAGTTAACATCTTTGCATTAAGTCAGATTCTAACCTCGCTCTTTACTGAGAGATGTGAACTTCTCTTATTGGGAACAGAATTGCTAAATCTTTACACAAGCTTTCACTGCCACTGGCTGGCTCCTACCTGTTTTGAGCAATTTAAGATCCTGTGCTTCCAAAGTGACTAATCCAACTTTCAAAAGCAACATTAATAATTAGTACCAGGCCCTATTTTAAGTGTACATACACTTTCAAGGCAACACCACAAATAAATAGTATCACTATACCCGTAACTATGAGAAAATAAAAGTGACTGCTATTTTGCTCAATGTTTTATTTATTGATAATTTTAAACATCCTTGTTTATTTTTTCACAATAGGATTTCTCCCTGCAGACCTTTCCTGTGTCTTCTACAGCTCCCCTCAGCAGTGTATTTCAGTAGATTCGCTGTTCTGCACCCCACTCTGTCTCTGGCGAATCCTCTCACCCCCCACACCTCTGGTCTACACCCCAGTTCCTGCATGCATATATAAATATAATCTTTAAGAAATATTTGAGTTCATAAGGGCAAATGAGAAGCCCTTATAACATGTACAGAAAGTTCATATGCACATATGCAAACACGCTTCAATTGGTCATTTGTATTTCCTGTTGCCTGTGACCTACAGTGTGATAAAGCAAAAAGAGTATAATATGACTGTTGTCCAAAGAGTCACAAAGAAAAACTCAGAAATAATATACAAGATTAAACACACAGCACACAAATAATCCCATATAAACCCTTGTATAGTCTTAAAACAGACAAAACAATTAGCAACACATAAAAATCACATAGCAGATGTATAAACTCATACTCTGAATGTAAACTCATATATACAAACATGGCTATTAAACAACAATAAGCACAGGATCAGTCACATTACACAAAAATCATACCAGAAACTCATCATTGCAATCAAAGAACATACATAGTCGCACATAATACATCCTCTTTGAAAATGAGAGACTGTCCCAGCCTCCACTGGCCTCACTCAGCATGGCAGAAGGTTGTCAGTGGGTGAGGCATGCGGGTCGCCTTCAATCACAGGAACCAACACAGAAACACTGCCTACAAATGAAACAAACTGCAAACATACACAAACACACACACACACACACACACACACACTATACCTGAGACATGTGGGAGACATGCAAATGTAACTCAAAGTCAAATGTAAGCTCACACAAGCCCACATCAGAGTAGATCTGAAGACCTCTCACCTCTTGCTGGTCATGGGCAAATATAGCAAATTTCTATTCCAGATTGGCGAGCACATCCGTGCCTCTTAAGTCTCTGCAATTGAACTTACTTAACTATGATGTTTGTCCAAAGATGAAATGTGGGAGTTATAGGAGACTGGGGCACATATTTGACATCAAAAGCACTGATTAAGAAACCCTAAATTACATGCAAAAATGCCCTAACTGGCCTTATGGAGCCTTTTTAGAGTTATATGTTCTGGGTAATCAAAGAATAAAACTGTGAGTCAATTACACATCACTCACACAAACAACAAACATATATACACAAATAAAAAACCCATGAAGAAAATGTATCATACCCACAGCAAACAACACAGACCCACGTGGAATGCACACGTGGACCTCTAGGTACACACTGTGCTTTCCTAGAACTCCCGGCTCACGATTACCTGTTCCACTCCTTGGTAGCTCAAGAACCTTCTAATCCAGTGTTTGAATCTTTGGTTTCTGTTGACACACCAGGAACAACAACAAAATAAAACCACAAAGAAAGTCTTTGTGAGCACGCAGCCTCCTGTACTTTTTGTGTCTGTGCTGGTGCTTCAGAGAGTAGACAGGAGGAAGCATTATTACAAACCTCAGAGAGGACTTATAAAAAATCCCTAAACTCCCAGTTAAGGAGACTAATTGCCTCACACTCCTATCAGACCTTGGGGAAGAGCCTGTGCAGAGGCTGGAGGGACTGAGCTGCTGCAGCCACCTGAGAGGGTGCCCAGGCATCAGGGGCAGCCCCTGGGCTAATCAGAGCTCCATGGAGAAGGCTTAGTCATCTTCCAGCACCCATGTTGCTAATGTTCTGAGTTAGCCTCCCCCAATGGCACATTATGCCTTGGGAATAGAAAGTCTGATTCCTCAAACCTTCATACCACTCACACTTGCTACCACGAGGGCGCAAATTTAGCTTCAACTCCACATCTGCAAGACCCTTCTCTACACTGAGAGAGACTTCAGGGCATGGAGGGATGCCTTTTCTATGGGATTACAGAGTGGAGAGATTGGCTCAGTATACAGAGAAAATTGAATGTGGGCTATGCCAGTCAATACTGGTTGACCCTGAGCAAAAAGAGTATCCTCTCAAGCTTGTCTCGATCAGCTAAAGTGCAGTAGTAATTGCATGGCCATCATGAAGTTATTGAGATTAAATGAGATGATTTGTGCCAAAGCACATAATAAATATCAGTTCTTTTTATCACTATCATTGTATAAAAGATAATTGTATCTAGATAATTACAAAAGATAATTATATCTAGAATCACTGACATTGGTATAAGATTGTTAGAGAATGAATGGATGGATTGATTTTTAATTCTTCAGCTCTTAGTAAGAACCAACTCCAACTCCCAGAAAGACCCAAGTTGTCCTGCAACAGAACAACAAAATTATATGATTCAAATTTCAGTACATTAGTCAATTCAGTTCCCCTCCTGGTTTGTTTAACATGTGTTAACTGACATCTCCAGTGACTAGATATCTGTAAATTTTTTCAGTTCTAGAAATCCTTTACATAGAAAGGAAAAATGGAAGAATTTCCAATAGAATCTGTGAAGTTTGCTGAAAACTATCTAATGCAGCATCCAATAAACTCAGCGGGGATAAGAAGCTTCAGAAGGCTGAGCAGCAGCTACGGTCCACATCATATCTGCTTGTACCCCAAACTGAGCATGGAGGGTGGTAGTCAGCGACATACTCTATACATACAATTTAAAAGGGAAAGTTAGTAGATAAAGCACAATTGCTACAGCTGATCCCAAGATGGTAACTGAAATTCTTTATTGCCTTCCCCTCTCATCCACATTGTTTTCCTTTATCCTCCTCAACATGGCTGCTGGTCAAGATTGCTTGCTGAGTCAATGAAATGTCAGAGCTCTTGATTACCCTGATCTGTTTACTAATGATGAGGCAGAGATTCAATTGCCTGCGTAATGTTATCATTTATCAATTAAGCACTACTATTAAATCGTTCTCCATAATTGTGGTCAATTGCTCCTGAATTTAAGAATAGCCCTTTTTGTTGCCCCAAAAGAAAATCCAAAATTTAAGAATGAAAACCTAAGATTATTACCAAGCAGCCGTCATGCTCTAATATCAGGGGACCACGCCTGTGTTCCCAGTGAAGTACATCCCCACAAATCAAAGACAAAGACTTCACAGATGGGAAGTGCCCATGGAATGGGAGCCCCATGGGGATAGATCATAGACAAAAGTAGCCACAAAAATAGGAAGTTCCTAAAAGATAAAAAGGGAGATAAACTTAGATGAACTTGGATATGGCTGTGAAATTTTAGATACAACACCAAAGGCACCATGCATGAAAAAAAATTTGTAAGTTAGATTTAGGAAAATTAAAAATTTCTGCTCTGCAAAGGATCATATCAAGAGAAAGGGAAGACAAGACACAAATGTGGAGAAAATACTTGCAAAACTAACATCTGATTACGTATACAATGTACACTTAAAATTCAACAATCAGAAAACAATTTGATCCAAAAATAACGCAGGGACCCTAAGAATCTCCTCACCAAAGAAGATATACAGATGACAAATAAGTGCATGAAAATATGTTCGACATAATGTCATCAAGAAAGTATGAATTATGAGACTGAGATACTATATATGCTTACTAGAGTAGCCAAAACCGAAACATTGACTACTACACTAAATTCTGATGAGTATGTGAAGCAACAGAGACTGTCATACCCTACTAGCTAACAGTGAATGAGTTAATTGACACTGGGTCAAATACTTAAAAATAAGAGGGAACACTACAAAACTTTAGAACAAAAGAAAAAGGAGAAAATATTTGCTTCCTTCGGGTCAGCCAAAATTGATTAGATGATCCATAGAGAATAAATGATAAATTGGACTTCATTGAAGTTCAAAACATTTGCTCTGAGACACCGTTACAAATGAAAAGAATGCCACAGATTCAGAAAATGATGTTTGAATATTATATATAAGATGTCTTGTTGGTGGACAGCCAACAAATTCTCCTGTTCACCATCACACTGACATCACTCTTCATTAGTTCTTATGTTTCCTTTGTGGATTTCTTAGGATTTCCTACATACATGGTCATCTAGTCTGTGGACTAGCTATAGCTTTACTTCCTTTCCAATATGGAGAACTATTTAAGTCTTATTGCACCAACTAGCACCTGAAATGCAATGTTCAGTGAGCAGAAAAACTTGTTTTGTTGTCCATTTTATGGGAATCACCTTCCACCTCTAACTGTTCACTAGTTAACTAGAAGGTTCTTGGTAGATGCCCAAGGGTTGAGAAAGTCTCCTCCTCCTCCTAATTTGTCGAGAGGTTTAAATAACAAACATATACCAAATTTTATTAATTGCTTCTCTATTTAGTGAGATGATCATGTGTTTTTGTCTCTTATTGTATTAATATAGTATATTAATTTTCAATGTTAAGCCAACCTTCCAACCCTAGAACAAATCCCACTTGATCATTGTAAGTAGTCCTTTTTATATACGACTGCGTGCAGTTTGTTACTATTTTACTGAAAAGTGTGTTTCTATATACATATAGTGTATTTGTGTGTCATACGCCTCTCCTATTACTTTGTATGTCTTTGATACCTGACCTAATAGAATGAATTGTGAATTCTACCTTTCTCCTGATTTTTGTGGAAGCACTTATGAAGGCTTGGAACTTCTACTTTAAATCTTTGGTGGAATTCTCCAGTGAATCTGTGATGAGCCTCTTCTTTTTTGAAAAGCTTAAAATATTCATTTAGTTTCTTGTTCAATTAGTCAACTAGGATGTTCTATTTACCCTCAATTCTTTTATTTATTAATGTTTTTCCAGGAGTGTGTTCATTTTATCCAAAGATCAAACTAGTTTGTATATAAAAGAATTTACTTATAGTATTTCCTTAATAATAACTAAAATCTTTGTAATAATAGTGGTAACATTCCTTTTTATACTTCATCTTGTTATTTTAACCTTATGTTTTTCTTAGCATAACTAAAGACTTACCAAATTTGTTGTTTTTTTTAGGGTTAACTTATGTATTTACTAATGTTCTTTATTTTTTCTTCATTTTTTCCTTTTAATCAGCATCTTTATTGAGATACAATTTACATACCATATAATTAACCAGTGTTCAATTCCATGATTTTCAGTTAAACTAATCTCGCCTCCTGCTCTGCAGGCCTCCCAAGGGAGTAGAGAGCCCCAGGTCTTGGGGCCAGTGGAGAGTGTGCTGTCCTGGAGGTTGGGGTCCCTGGTGTGGGTCTACACGAGCTGGTACTACCCTGTCTGGGCCATTCTGGGATGTGTGGCGAGGCCCGTTCCATTGCTGGGCTCTTCAGGGGTCAAGGGTGTTCACAACCTCTCCTCCTCCTCATGACAGGCAGAGGGAGGGAGCATGTCACTGACATTAGGGACACCTCCCCCTGGGATGCCTGAGTTTAGTCCCTTTGGCCCCTGCACAGGATCATCTCAAGAGGAAGGCAACTAATTGGGCAATTAGTTCTGATTTCTTTTCTAACCAGAGGCTGGGGTTGTGTTCCCCTGAGTGTGATTTGTGTTTGTGTTGGTAAATGTGGATCTTCCTGCTCATTGTGCGGTGCTAGTGAACAGGCATGGAAGGTGCAAAAGATCCTTAGACCACGGAGGCATAAGAGATGCAGGTTCAGCAGCCAGGATGAGGAAGAGTTGTTCCAGATTAGAGCAAGGTGGGGATCATCATGTGGTGAGAGGAGTATTTAATAAGAAGAGCAGAGAGAGAGAGAGAGAGAGAGAGAGAGAGAGAGAGAGGAGAGAGAGAAAGAATGTGTTTATGTAGCTTGTAGAGCCAAGTGTTTTAGTGGGTGTCTGACTCACACACGCCCTATTACACACACGGAGCTGTATCATAATTAACTAGAAAGAACTAAAACTGAGGCACCAGCCTCACCTGCAGGAGCTGCACTTCAGGTCCTCAGGGGTCACCGGAGTCTGCGCTGCCGTGGTCGGGGCACACAGGAGTGTTTCCCATCATGTGAGCACCTAGTCCATGCTGATCTAGACCAGGGGGCTGGACTGGCTTGCATGCCGCAGGCGCCTGTGCTGCTGTGTTCGTGCTGCACCTCTTCATGGTAACTGTGTGTTGTATCTGACGTGACTGTCCGTGTGCACAGTAGAGCTTGTTTGGCTGTGTGTGGTTTGGGAGTTGTCTGGCCAACTAGATGTGGTGATTTTGTACTTTTTCAAGCAAATCTATTGTAGTGTAATTAATATTCATAAATCTACAGAATATATACAATTTGATGAGTTTGGATACAGGCAGACACACGTGAGCCTTTCACCACAAGCAGGAGACATATCCATCACCTACTAAAATTTCCCTTCATTGTTTGTTTGTACAACATGAATCACTCAATTATATTTTAGTATGCTCTTAATCACTACTCTGTGAGAATGCGCCCTGAAAAATGGACTCACCAAAGGAAGGGTGGTGACTTATTTACTACTCTCTCTCTAGCACCTAACTCAGCATCTATGTATGTTAAAAAAGATACTAACACTGATTAACACTGGGGGGCTTTAGGTCACATATTTGTCTATGTGACAGCATCAGTGTCCAGGCTGGACGAGGCCCCAGCAGGTGAGAGAGCATCATGGTGTCTGCAGAGACACCGTCACTCACGTGCTATGTGACCATCTGTCCCTGCTATGTCACGGTTTCTAAGATCCTGACATCTCCTACTTCCCTCTACCCCAGAAGACAGTAAAGCAACATGAGGTGGGAGAACCAGAGCAGCGTGTCCGAGTTCCTCCTCCTGGGGCTCCCCATCCGTCCAGAGCAGCGGGGCCTGTTCTTCGCCCTGTTCCTGGGCATGTACCTGACCACGGTGCTGGGGAACCTGCTCATCATCCTGCTCATCAGGCTGGACTCGCGCCTCCACACCCCCATGTACTTCTTCCTCAGCCACTTGGCCCTCACTGATGTCTCCTTCTCATCTGTCACTGTCCCAAAGCTGCTGTGGAACATGCACACTCAGGACCTGTCAATCTCCTATCCAGGGTGTATCTCTCAGATGTATTTTTATTTGGTTTGTGGTTGTGTGGACAATCTGCTTCTTGCAGTGATGGCCTATGACAGGTATGTGGCCATCTGTCACCCCCTCCACTACACCATCATGATGAGGGAGGAGCTGTGCCTGCTGCTGGTGGCGGGCTCCTGGGTCATCTCCTGTGGCAGTGCCTTGTCCCACACTGTTCTCCTGACTGAGCTGTCATTTTGTGCTGACAACATCATCCCCCACTTTTTCTGTAGTCTCCCCATCCTGGTCAAGCTGTCCTGCTCAAACACCTCTGTCAATGACTTGGTTATATTCATTTCTGGGGCTGTGTTTGTCATCATTCCATTGAGTGGCATCCTGGTGTCTTATGGCTGCATTGGGGCTTCCATCCTGAGAGTCCCCTCTACCAAAAGCATCACTAAAGTCTTCTCCACCTGTGGCTCTCACCTCTCTGTGGTGTTTCTCTTCTATGGAACAATCATGGCGGTCTACTTTGCCCCCTCCTCAAGCAACTCCAATGATGCAGACATGATTTCCTCCTTGATGTACACAGTGGTGACCCCCATGCTGAACCCCTTCATCTACAGCCTACGGAACAAAGACATCAAATTGGCTGCGAGGACCCTTTGCAGAAAAGATGTCCCTGCTGCCAGGTGAGAGTCACCTGACCATGCTCTTCCACGACTGACCTTGTCAAGATATTCCCCATAACTTGTGTGCTGACCTCCCACGTCCCAATACCTCCAGCTGCTCTTGAAAGCGGGGGTCATGTCATGGATCCAGTCCCTTCCCCGTAGTGATACTTATCATCTGTCTACTCTTACACAACCTTAACTATGGAATTGCCCATGACACACATTGGTTTTGTTTTTTTTTTTTTTTTTTTTTTTTTTTTCAAACTTCTGAGCTCCTAACTGGGCCGTGGGGCTGACCCTGCGTGACAGCGGCACTGTTGTCTCTGTTCCAAGAGGAGATGAGTCCTTGCTAGATAACAAAGCACATCACCACCTCTCTGAAAATAAATGACACCAAGTTTCAGGCTTCCATTTCAAAGAGGAAAGTTGGATGTGTTCAGAATAGCCCACATCTGTCTGTTTGATGCAGGTCTGAAGATACCCACTTCTAATAAATGCACAAGTTCATAATTCATGCACACAAAAATACTGGCTGCATGATCACTATGTGCCAGCTGTTTTTCTAGGTTCTGGGGAATAAGAGGAAGGATGAAACAGTTTTCTCCTAGAAATTTTAGTTCAAGTGATAAAAATTTCCTGTATGCATTATGTGAGGAGAATTCCACATGTTGATAGGTTATGTTTTTATTTCATTAATTTCATAATAATTTCTGATTTCCTTTTTTATTTCCTCATTGGCTCAAGGGTTATTCATGTTATTTTGTTACCAAATATTTGGGCCTTTTCTAGGTATCTTTATACTATTGATGTCTAATTTAGGTGCATTGTGCTTAAAGCCTACATTATGTGATTTAAATACTATTAAATGTATTGAGATCAGTTTTATAATAGAATATGGTGTGTCTTCCTAGTAATAATCCAATAAACCCAATTCCTTCTTCCCATCCCTGTTATCACTACTAGCATTCATTTCACTGTACAGAGCATATGTAAGCATATTCATATAGTAATACATAAAATATGCACATAAGTAAAATTGAGTCAATTGCTACCATTATATTTAGGATAATATTATCTTTTACAACTTTGAAGAATAAAAATAAATAAATGCTTTATATACCTTTACTTATTCCTTCCCCAAAGCTCCTTTTTTATGTAAACTGAGATTCTGATCTGTATTACCTTCCTTACCTCTAAAGAACTTTTAACACTTCTTGTAAGGCAGATCTACTGGCAACAAATTCCTTCAATTTTTGTGTGTCTGAGGAAGTTTTTACCCCCCTTACAATGTTGAAAAATTTTTCAGGAGGTCTCTCTGGTGGTGCAAGGGGTTAAGTACAGCACAGGGAAGCTATCTGCAGCCTCTGCAGCACAAATTCCATCCCTGGCCTGGGAGCTACCCACATGGCGCAGCAGACCTCTCCTGTCTTGCCCGCGGCTCCCCTCAGCAGTGTATTTCAGTAGCTCTGCCTGTTCTGCTCCCCACTCTGTCTCTGGTGATTCCTCTCACTCCCCGCACCTCTGGCCTGTACCCCAGTTCTTGTATGCATAAATAAATAAATCTTTAAAACATTAATTCCAAAGGGCACCTGCATCTCTATGTTTACAGCAGCACTGTTTAGAATAGATAAGCTTTGGAAACAACCCAAATGCCCAAAAATAGATGACTGGATCAAGAAGATGTGGTACATATACACCATGGAATATTACTCAGCAATCAAAAAAGATAAACTCATGCCATTTGCAGCAACATGGATGGAACTGGAAGGAATCATGCTCAGCAAAATAAGCCAGAAACAAAAAGAAAAATACCAGATGGTCTCACTCATAGCAGGAATCTAGAAAACCTAAATAAGGGACCAGGAAAAAGAATAACTATAAGAAAGAAAAAATCAAAATCAACAAACGACTATGAACCAGAGACACACTATGGGGGGGGGGAGAGGAAAGGAGGGATTGGGGTCAAAATAAGGGGGCTGCAATTGTATGGGGAATATAAAAGTAAAAAAGAATTATATAAAATCACATATTAAATAAATAAATAAATAAATAAATAAATAAATAAATAAATAAATCTTTAAAACAAAAGAACAGAAAAATTTTTCAGGGTACAGAGCTATGACTCCCAAGTCCCTTACATATAATACCCAAAATGGAAGGGCACAGGCATTCGAAAAGATGCTGCTCTTTGGGGGTCAGTGTGTTCTGTAAATGTCAATGACGGACTTTATAGTTTTATTGCTTAACTAATATTCAAATTTTCTACATCTTACAATGTTCTATCTTCTTTTTCTCTTAAGTATTTAGGGCAGTATTGAACTACAGATGATGACAGTGATTGTAAAGTTATCTGTTATCTTCAAATTCTATCAGTTTTTGATTTAAATATCTGGAGTTCTATTATTAAGTGCACACATATTTAGGACTATTTTTACTGGTTCACGAATATGAATGTGTCAGAAGCCCAAGAAACATGAAGGGGAGACTGGGGATACTTTTTTTAAAAAAAAGATTTATTTATGTATACAAGAACTGGGGTATAAGCTAGAGGTGCAGGGGGTGAGAGGATTCATCAGAAACAATGGGAAACAGAACAGGCGGATCTACTGAGATACACTGCTGAGAGGACCAACCAGTTAAGGAGGAGAGATCTGCTGCACCCTATTGGTAGCTCCCTGGCCAGCCAGGGATAGAACCCATGCTGCAGAGGGTGAGGCTAGCTTCATAGTGCTTGCTTAATTAACCCCTTGCGCCACCAGGGAAGCCCACGGGGACACTTTTTGAAGGAAGAAATTTTTCTCCAAGTACAACTGTCTCACATTGAGTTCTGTGTTCATCAGGTGGCAGGTCAGAGATTCCCACATGGAAAATTACACAGAAGCCCATCCTTGTTGCCGCCCCACCCCACTTCCTGTTTCCTGTCACCTGTTCCAAATGCTCATCCTGTTTGTTCCCCCTGACCCCAGAGAGCTCATTCAAACTTCCAGGCACAGAGAAGCCAATAGAGATTTTTGCAACTATCTCTGTCCTTTTAACCAACTGCTTTTTGTTTTAGGGTGTTTTGTGTCTTTTTGTGTTTCTATAAGCCTTGGGATATGGCACACTCAGGAGAGCCATCGCTCCACCCAGTGGGGCTGTTTATTGCACAGGCTTGCCAGTCATCTGCAAAGGTTTGCACTTAATGTTCGTGGAAGTATGTGCTTAGAGGTCAATCCCAAGAGCAGGAAGGCAGGGGATGAGGCTTGTGAAGTGCTGAAGGTGAATGTGGGCCAACTGGGGTCACATTTGAAGTTCCCTGGAGATTTGTGGGTTAACTTTCCAATGGACTCCATGAAGTTGTTAGTAAGAGGAACTGCAAAACTGTTAATTGCATTCCTTGATGGAGATCTGAATTCTGATTTCTGTGCTCCCAGACCTTCCCCCACCCATTAACCTCCTAGGTCACACAACTTTACAGGAAACATGAATAAAGTGGGCCCCTTGGGCAGCTTCCCACATATCTGGGGAAACTGGGTGCTCAGTTAAGTTCCCCAGCAAGGGAGAAATGGTGGATAGGGGAGGATCTCCTCGAATAGAGCTGTATGATTTGGGTGATGGATGATGCATGTAGAGTGAAACTGTTCTTACCCTCTCTCATGTGTCTATTCTTGGATTTTCTTCCCCCACTAATAATGAGCTGGAAATTCTCCACTAAATTCCCAGACTGTCACACAGAACTCTGACTTATGTGGCATTGTCAAAACTGCGACTTGTTAGGTGACAATGGTAGAAAATTCTTGTTCTGCCCTCTTGCTGATGTCCCTTTTTCTTTTTTAAATATTTATTTATTTATTTATACAAGCACTGGGTACAGTCAGAAGTGTGGGAGGGTGAGAGAATTCACCAGAGCCAGAGCAGGGAACAGAACAGGCAGACTGATGAAGTACACTGCTGAGGGGAGCAGCAGGTGCGGCAGGAGAGGTCTGTGCGCCATGTGGGACCCTCGCCGGTGGCCGGGGATAGAACCGGTGCTGTAGAGGCTGCAGGCAGCTTCGCAGCCCAGCGCTCAACTGCTGCGCCACCGGGGAGGCACTGATGTCCCTTTTTCTTGTTCCCACTGACCTTGGTGGACCCCATAGGATTTCCTCCATACATGCTATGCAGCTGTGAATGAGATGGTTTTACTTCTGCCTCTCCAATCTGCACAAAAGGCCACTTCCTGAAGAGTCTAAATGAGCACAGAGCCATCCAGCCTGGTGGTGTCCCTTTACATGTTTACACAGGGGTACACATGCTGGCTGATTCACTGAAATGTGTATCACATGGTTGTATTGTTCTATGGGGGGTGCTTAGGTCTTTCTCATGGAGAAGCAGGACTTGAAAAATTAAACTTTGAAAATCGAGTCATTCAAAAACCATCAATGCTATAATATTAAGATATTTATCCAATTATAGATTATAGATATGTTTATCTTTTGCTGGAATATACAAAGATAATGACAGTAAGTTGACATGTACCTGATGCTTTAGCATGAGTGATTTAATATAGTCTTAATAGAAACATGAATATTTATACCACTAGCATCTGCATTTATAACAAGTAAAACAAGATTGAGGGAAGTTACTTTACTTATTTAGGGTCAACAATGGGTGACTGGAAAGCCCAAAGCATTGGGTACATTGGCCTTAGAGGACATCATGCCAGCTGCTACCTGGTTGGAACTATAGGGAGAGGAGCCCAGGGTCCCCCTGATACCTGGGACATCCTCTCACATGCTCAGGTGACTCTACCAACTCAGTCCCTCCAGCCTCTATGCAGGCTCCTCCCTAAGGTCTTGCAAGAACTGGAAACAATTAAGTGACTGTCTTTCCTTAACCAGGAGCTAAGGGACCTTGTCCTTGTCCTCTCAGTGGTTTATAAAGTTGTGTCCTCCTGGCTGTTCTCTGGCATCAGGGACAGACACAGCAATCTCAGTAGGTGATGGGCTCACAGAGGATGTCTTCGAAGTATTTATTGCTGGTCTTCTCGACAGCAGCTGAGGACTCCGACACCGATTAGAAGGTGCCTGATGTAACAAGAAATGACACAGGCTGGATGGCGGGGGATTCTAGGTGAGCAGAGTGTATCTCTGTGCTCTGAGGACAAATGTGTTTTCCATGTGGGTCTGTGTGTGATAGCGTGGATGGATGTTCCCTAACTAATGTATATCTGTGTGGGGGATACCCATCTCTCTCCAGAGAGATGAGAGAGGATACCCATCTCTCTCTAGAGAGAGAGAGGGAGAGGGAACGAAATGGAAGGGAAGAGAAGGGCAGAGAGACAGAAGATAGAGTGAGCAGAGAACAAAGAATGATTCATGGTTGATTCTCTTTGGCCCAGAGCACCAGCACCAACTAAAACCCATTAAAAAGTATAAATCCCTGCTGGGTGGGATCTGGTCTCTTCACCAGCCCACTGATCTCCAACACCTGCCCTCCCTCCTGCATAACTCTCACATGTTCAGCTCTGGCTACTCATCACAGGTAAGTAAAGAGATTGCAGAGTATAAAGAGAGAAGATGTGTTCCCCACTCTGGATATGGGGTCCCTGCATTTATCCAAAAGCAGCAGGGGAGGGAGGACTTGAAATCATTACTCAATGATGAGGGATGTGTACCTTGCATTTGGTGAGCTATATATATACACGTCACTTCATGTTTTATGTGTATGTGTTGATGTTTATATACAAGCAGTGTTTCTGTGATGGTTCCATCCCTGCATGGGGTTGAAGTGACTCACTACTGACCATTTAGTGGGCATTCACAGTGGTCATGCTCTGCATTGAGAGGGTCACTCAAGTCTCCACTACTGGGCAGCTGTCAGGTATTAATGGATGGGACCTTAGTGCCTGCAGCAGGTCCCACTGGGGCCCAGTTTTCATCTGGCCCTTATGTTTGCTCTCTGACATTCAGATCCCTCCCTGGGAAAGGAGGGGTAACTACCCCCACATACAGTGCTGTTTTTAGGACTAAATGAGGCCATGCATACAGACTGTCCATCACCAAGCCTGGCTCATGATTGGTGCTCAGTAAAGAGAATTCTTATTCTCTTTCCCAAAGTCAGTGCCAGTGTGATAGAGATCCTCACTTCACTGCTGTCTGGGGCAGGATGAGTAAAAGTCTAAGAACAGGGGTCCCTGTATACCCCTCACATGCTGGATCACATGGCCTGATCCTTCCATGGCTCGGGACCCAGCGCCTTCCTCACAAGCCCTATCTGAATCAAGGTCCTATCTGAATCAAGTTGCTCCAGTTGGTTCCTGCTTGTTTCCTCTGGTTCTCACACCACACATGAGTGGGCAACCAGACCTCCACATGGGGGTCCAGACACTGTCCTCTCAGTGGCAGTGAATCAAGATAAGCAGAGCCCTCAGCAAGTTCATGGTCCCTGAGGAGCCTTGCAGTCCTGCTCCACTGCTTGAGTCAGTGAGGAACCCTATTCTGTGTGTGTGTGCATGTGTGTGTGTGTAACCCTAATTCTAACCTGTCGAAGGGTGAACCTGGAATCCACCACCAGAGAACTGAGCAACCTCATGTGGTAATTTTTGTCTTTGGTTTTATCACATTTATGAAATAAAAAGCATATTTGCCTTATATACCATAGTCAGTAGATACAGAATTACTTCTTGAAATTAAAGTTGTGTGAAAGCCCTTTTTGTGTTGTATGATGTATCAATATGATTGATACATCTTGGACCAATGGAGTGACAGGTGAGGTCACCCAGCATGTCTAATGAGGGCTATGACACCCATGCAGGTGATGGATTCTGCTTAGACACACATTTTCAATTCACTAGTTCTGCTTATGTGTGGTATAGCCTCACACCTCACCAAATGCTTTCCTCAGAGTTAAAGTGGGTATTAGAGCAATTATTAATTAGGATTATTCTATTATTAATAGTGCTTGTAAAGCCTTTGGAATATTGTCTGGCATGTTCATGATAAATTTTTGACATTCTTATCACCATTCATTGGGAATCTGGATGGATACTTTGGTAGTGATGTTTAGGGATTACACAAGTTTCACAGTAAGACTGCAACAAATCACTAGCTATCCTATTCCAGTTTACAGAGTTCCACAAACTTTTAAGAGGACATGAGGGCTGTGTGTCTCCTGCTGATCATCTCATTTTTTTCTATGTTATGCCCATCATTGATGGTGGACCTAGCGTGATATAAAGATGTAAACTCCTTGAACATAGAGACTCATTTCAAGTAGACTATAATGAACTCAGTGCTTTATGTGGTGCCTGGAACAAGACTGTTGTTCAATATATATCTGTGTAATAAAGGAAAGTGCCCTCTGGTTCCATGGAAGGAAATCTTGTTATTTTGTGAGGGGTATCATGCACTAGTGGAGACCAACTGTGACAAACCATGATTCATGCATCAACAAGCATGAGCAATAAAGAAAAATCTTGTTAAAAATAAATACTTTCGGGAGGGGAAGGATTGGGGTCAGAATGGGGCGTTTGCAATTGTATGGGGGAATATAAAAATAAAATTTAATATTTAAAAAAAAAAAAAAAAAAAAAAAAAAAAAAAACTTTCCTAAGAAACTTTTCAAAAAAAGGCAAAAGGAGGACTTACTATAATCATTGTCCTGGATTGCTTGTCAGGCATGTTCATGTATAACAAACTCTTTCCCATTGTCAGGCAGGCCATATTTACAGTGTTTAATTTTTAAGCAGGTTATTGTCCGTGCCATGTGCTTATAATATTCTTATACATATAATTTATTGCCCAATGTATTTTCTGAGAGGTTTTTCTCTTACATGACAAAGAACAAAAAACAAAGGGATGTTAAGTCTTCAGCCCCATGGTGTGAGGCTCTTTGGAAATCTTTGGCCCCACGGTGTGAGGCCCTTTAACTTCGGCCTCATGGTATGAGGGCCTTTTTCTTAGCCGCTTGCCAGTGTCTTACCTGGCTGGGGCAGCAAGGCCCCCTGCATCAATTTCTCTCTCATCTGACAGCACAGACAGTATATATTAAATCACTGATCCAGGCTTCGATAACAGATACATATTTTAAAAAATATTTCACTGTATAACATTACCGTGTAGCATATTTTCAAAACATGCCTGCTGAATTGAAAGTTAAAGTTTAATTGAAATAGAATTAAAATCTATGTAACCATCCTAAAAAAAAAAAAAAAAAAAAAAAAAAATAAATACTTTCATGTAAAAAGGATATCACTATAATGTGGCTAATTCTAGACTCCCTATCTCTTCTTTCCTTCATCCCTAGCAGAGACATGAACATGAGGTGGGAGAACCAGAGCAGCATGTCCGAGTTCCTCCTCCTGGGGCTCCCCATCCGTCCAGGGCAGTGGGGCCTGTTCTTTGCCCTGTTCCTGGGCATGTACCTGACCACGGTGCTGGGGAACCTGCTCATCATCCTGCTCATCAGGCTGGACTCGCGCCTCCACACCCCCATGTACTTCTTCCTCAGCCAACTGGCCTTCAATGATATGTGTTTATCATCTGTCACTGTCCCTAAGATGTTGATGAACATGCAGGCTGATCACAAGTCCATCCCCTATTCAGAGTGCGTTTCCCAGACATATTTTTTCATATTGTTTGGTTGTCTTGACAATTTCCTTCTTGCAGTGATGGCCTATGACAGGTACGTGGCCATCTGTCAGCCCCTCCACTACACCACTGTCATGAGGCAGGAGCTGTGTGTCTCCTTAGTAGCTGGGTCCTGGCTTTTCTGCCTTTTCCACTCTCTCTTGAACACCATCCTCTTTACCCGATTGTCCTTCTGTGCTGACAACACCATTCCCCACTTCTTCTGTGATCTCTCTACACTCCTGAAGATGAGCTGCTCAGATGTCTCACTCAATATGTTGGTCATCTTCATCGAGGGAGGGATGATTATCATTGTACCTCTGAGTGGCATCTTGGGCTCCTATATCCGGATTTGGACCACCGTCCTGAGAGACCCCTCTGCTAAGAAATTCCTCAAAGTCCTCTCTACCTGTGGCTCCCACCTCCTCGTTGTGTCTTTATACTATGGGACTATTGCAGAAGTTTATTTTTTCTCCTCCTCATCCACCTCCAATAATAAAAACATACTTGCCTCTGTGATGTATATGATAGTCACCCCCATGCTGAACCCTTTTATCTACAGCCTGAGAAACAGAGACATGAAACGTGCCCTGGAAACACTTGTTAATAGGGCTAAGTTCCTTATGTCAAAAGACTCGATCTGAAAGTGTTAATAATAGAGTCAAAACAAGAAGGAAATTATTAGACCTTAACTGATATACTGAGTATCCAGTTGAATGTGGACTGCATGAACAGGTCAGGGAAGTTGGCCTCTCCAGTTTCCCTCTCTGCTCACATACAACAGTTTTCTTTACTCAGACTGACTTTCAATGATTTTTAACAATTCTTGGAATACGTGATGCCTAATTGCAACTTGCACAGTGCTAGGGGTTGGAGATGAGTGAGGGTATAAAGTGGCAATAATGAGGATGTAACTCATTCTGTCCCACCAGCTCCAGGAAAACCAGTCTTTTTTCTCTTGGCCCTTCACAGTCAGAGAAGGAGGGTGCTAGAAAGAGTGTCATAGAAAATTCTGCTTTCATCAATTGAATTTCCAATTTTTTAAATTTGACATTCCCACAATAAACTTCTAATGACTCAAAACTTCATTTCTTGTGAGGTGTTGGTTTTAATGTGCTGGCATGCCTTTAAAAACTATGCACATTGATGTGACTGTCCACATTTTCTTTTTAATGAGTGTTTTATTTATTTTAAGAATAGAGTTCTAAGTGCAAGAAATCTTCTATATCTTATCCTGGTGGTAGTTAAATTGTTATTTGCTCAGGTAAAAATTCATCAGGCTATACAGTTCAAATTTATACACTTAGCCTATGCATACTAGACAGTAAATCAAAGTAAATCAAATACAAATAAAGTAAATCAAATACAACAACCCTTAATTATAATTTTCTGAATGGAAAAGTTACGGTGGTGTGCATGTGAATAAAATTATATAAATTGGGGCAGACTACAGGTGCAGGAAAGTGCTCTTCGGACACGCCATTTTAGAATAGGGACCTTCCTTCAATAAAGATTGCTTGAAACTGGGAGAAGGCTCCCCGCGCAGCCAGAGGTGAGCTGGGAAGCTGCCCCCATGCCAGGCCCCATCTGGCCAGCCATCCGAACCCAGAGGGGGAGCAGGCAGACCTCAGGCACAGGAAAGTGCGTTTCCGACTCGCCATTTTAGGATAGGGACCTTTGCTTCAGTAAAGACTGCTTGAAACTGGGAGAGGGCTGCCCCCACAGCCAGAGGCGAGCTGAAGGCCCCCCACAAGCCAGGTCCCACCTGGCAGGGAGTTGGAGCCCAGAGGGGAATCCAGTGATTTGGAGCCCCGAGGGGAATCCAGCCATCCCAGGCAGTCTGTGGGACTTCAAGATACACCTTTGGAATTAAAACAAACACAGAAGGAGGAGATATTCTGTGACAGCAACCATTAACATACTCATAGTACCACTGCCTCGCTGGACTTCTGGCATAACAGTATTTGACTCCATTGGACCGCCAGTTTCCAAAATCCCAGAAAAAGCACACCAAAAAGATGCTGGCCAGTACCAGCGACACAGTGTCCCAATGCATAGGACAAATCAGAAAACAAGCAGCAGGGAGAAGAAAAAGTACACGCAACCTAGCAAGTCCTCAGGAAAAAGACACACCACAAAAAGAAAACCACCCACCAAATGGCAACAACAGTGACTTGGAAGAACTTCTGAGCCTTCCAGAAAGAGAATTTAAAAATTAAAAAACCAACAGAAGTCATTAAGGAAAACAATGATCAGAAGAATGAAATTGAGTCCCTAAAGAGGGAAGTGAAGGAAATGCAGGAGATCAAAGGACTAATGGAAGAGCTAAAGAACACTGGGAAAAGCAGTGATAACAGAATAGATAAAATGGAAGAACGAATAAGCACTCTCGAAGACACAGAAATAAAAAGAACCAAAACAGAAAAGGAAAGAGAAGTATGAAGGAAAAAGACTGAAGAAAGACTTCGGGAACTATCTGACTTCATGAGGAAAGGAAATATAAGAGTTATAGGAATCCCAGAAGGACAGGAGAGAGACATAGGAACAGAGAAAATATTCAAGGAAATAATAGAAGAGAACTTCCCAAACATGAAGAAGGAGCTGAAAACAGACATACAAGAAGCAAGAAGAACACCAAACTTCCACGTTGAAAGGAAAAGACACATAATAGTAAAGCTCCCAAGAATCCAAGACAGGGAAAAAATAATGAAGATGGCAAGAGGAAAGAAACGGGTAACATACAAATGAAAACCAATCAGGCTGACATCAGACTTCTCTGAAGAAACACTACAGGCAAGGAGAGAGTGGAGGGACATAGTTAACAGACTCCATGACAACAAATGCCAACCAAGAATACTCTATCCCGCAAAGCTCTCCTTCCTCTATGAAGAAAGAATAAGGACCTTCCCAGACAAATAGAAACTCTGGAATTTCATTATGACTAAACCCCCACTCCAAAAAATACTACAAGGAGTCCTAAAGCCAGAACCAACAGAGGGATGAATAAGAACGAAACAAGACCAAAAAAAAAAAATCACTAAAAAAATAAATAAAACCAGAGAAAAGTCAAACAAAATGGCAAATACAGACGCTAACATATCAATATTAACCCTAAATGTAAATGGACTAAACTCTTCAACAAAAAGACACAGAGTTGAGGCTGGATTAAGAAACAAAACCCAACCTTTTGCTGTCCCCAGGAAACTCATTTAACCTCAAAAGATAAAAATAGACTGAAAGTAAAAGGATGGAAAACAATCCTACAAGCAAATGGACCAAAAAGAAGGCAGGAACAACTATACTTATATCAGATAAAACAGATTTCAAACACAAAAAGTTAAAAAGAGACCCAGACGGTCACTACATTATATCAAAGGGACAATACTTCAAGAAGAAAAACATTCATTAGCATATACTCATCAAATGAAGGAGCACCAAAATAGACTACTGTTATCATCTCTGAAAACAGACATCAGAGAATTACTGGGGTGGGGGAAGAGGAAGGATTGGGGTCAAAAAAAGGGGGACACAACTGTATGGGGAATATAACCAAGATGGAAATGTATACATTGTGCAAAAATGAAAAATGATGTAAGAAATATGGGCCTCCCTGGCGCAGTGGTTGAGCGCTGGGTTGCGAGGCTACCCGCAGCCTCTGCAGCGTCGGTTCAATCCCCGGCCACCAGGCAAGGGTCCCACATGGTGCGCAGACCTCTCCTGCCGCCCGCTGCTCCCCTCAGCAGTGTGCTTTGTTGGTCTGCCTGCTCTGCTCTCCCCTCTGACTCTGGTGAATTCTCTCACTCTCCCGCGCTTCTGACTGTACCCAGCGCTTGTATAAATAAATAAATAAATCTTAAAAAATATATATATATAAAATAAAAAAGCAAAAAAATTATATAAATTGGGGAGTGTGTATTTTAGTTAATATATGTGACATTGCAACATGCAAAAAGTGCATGCAACATATATATATATATATATATATATGATACATTCAGATAAACATAGAGATAAATACTTATGCTATCTCTATATAAAATGAATGCCATTATTCTGGGAAAGAAATGTTCCCAATTTTCCTATTTGCTTTTTTCTTTCCTCCCCAATTTTCTGTTTTAGTTCCTCCATAACACAAATAAAAAGTTTTACCTCTTCTTGCATTATTATCAAACATTTCCTAGGAACTCTTTCCCAAATCCATCACCAAGGGGTTGTCTGGTGTGCAGAGGTGTGAGCTGATTTGGAAAACCTCATGGTTGTTCACATGCTACAAGAGCTGGAATAATGAACTCAACCAAATTTTCAAGGAGGAGGTGAGGGTCAAAAGTGTTTGGTGACTCTGTATACCCAATCATCATGTTTTGGTCATAACAGAAGCTGAAAAGCTCTACTAGAATTTTGAAGTTAAAAACAGTGATCAAACTAAAGTTAAAACTAAAGTTAAAAATAGTGATCAAACTAAATTTTAAAGTTAAAAACACTGATCAAACTTATGAAGGAATTTAAACTCTCATACACATCTGTTAGAATCAAAAGTGACATAACAACTTAGAAAAACACTAGTACTTTCTTAAAATGTTGACCTTGTGCTTAAGTGTTGATTCACTAAGACACAAGAATTAGCTCATGAACAACAGTAGCATCAGAAGACTGAATCATATCAGAATACAAAATAATGATATCTTTATACAGGAAAGCTACAGTATTAACTGTAACAGCCTGAAATTTATTCTTCCATAATGAAGGTGAAATATTGATATTTACAGAAAGACACAACTAAAAAAAAAAATGCCAGCAGATATGCTAATGGAGTCCCAAGAGTAATTCTCTAGATATAAGGTAGTGCTTATATGAGAAAACTTGAATATTCACAAAGAAATCAATCAGTGGAAATAATCTTATTAGTAAATATAAAAATGAATATTGACTGTATCAAAACCAAAAATGATAAGCATTGCAACCCCATCAAAATTCTAAAATGCTTTTCCTTATTTCTTTCTACTTATTTTGGTAGAAACTGACATCCTGAATCTAAATTTTTTAAGGAGATGCAAACAACTGTTAGCAAAAGCAGCTGTGACAAGAGGACGAGATGAATCTTTACCTATGTATGACCTGATCATAAAACTATTGCAATCAAGTCAGACTCATGTCAGAATAAAGATGACAAAATAGTCAATGGAACAGAACAGAGCCCATAAATAGATTCATACTGTGTAACCCCAATAATTCACACAGGAAAAAGGGCAATTCAGTGAAGGAAATACAGTCTTTCTGCAAAGGATGCTGAGGAACTGAATACCCAGAGTCAACAAAACAAACTTCCGGCCAAATCTGGCACTAAATGTAAAATGTAGAGTATTAAAATAGGTAATACTACTAAAATGAATTCTCAAATTATAAAAATTGGAGAACACATAGGATAAAATCCTGTGATGTTGGGTTAAGCAAAGGTTTCTTAGAAAAGCATAGACACTGCAATTCATAAAGAAGGTACTGAAAATTGAACTTAATCAAATTGAACTTCTCATGCTTTTTTGAATAATACCTTTAAAAGAATAAGACTATAAAATACATAGGAAGTAAGTACTTCTAAGTAATAAATGCAATATGTACGTGAAATCAAAATATGTAAAAACTTTCAAAGACTCAATAATGGGCACAAATTCCAGTTTGAAAATTGTGTAAAAGATCTGAACATATGCTTCACCAGATAAATATAAGATATGATTAGATGCTGCACATTATTAGAGATCAAGTAAACGCAAATTAAAAATCTAAAGTGTTATCACTGTGCTCCCAGTAAAATGTTAAGTTTACAGAATTGGTCATAACAAAAGCTGACAAGATCTACTAGAAATTTAAAGTTAAAAACACTGATCAAACTAAGTTAAAAACATTGCTCAAACTTATGAAGGAATTCAAACTCTCATAAACTGTTAGAATCAAAAGTGATATAACAACTTAGAAAAACACTAGTAGTTTCTTAAAATGTTGACCAGGTACTTAAGTGTTGACTTACTCGTAGGTAACTATCCATTACAAGCAAAAGTCTATGTCCATTTAAAACTGGTTTATATCCTTCAGCTTATGTTAAAAAATTCAAGGGGGAAATAATCTAGTGCTAACCAATATTTGACACACATGAAATATTATTAAGCAATAAAACGATGCATTGTTGATATAGCAATGTTGATGTGTCTTAAAGTAACATACTAATGAAAGAAGTCTGCCAGAGGATAGCCCATACTATGTGATTCCCGTTATGGAAATTTCTAGAACAAGCAACCTATAGTGAGAGTAAGCGAGCCAGGGGTTGCATGATTATAGCAGGAGAAGTAAAAAGGGGGGAGGGGTCATAGTATGGGACATGGCCATCTGCAGGGTCACACATGGTATCTCTACTTCATTGACATGATAGTTTCACAATGAATGCATCTGGCAAACTGTTCATTTTAATAATCGAAAGCTTATTGTGTATCAACTAACAAAGGTAAAACAAATGAGATGCAGTTAACTTGAAAAGTCCTAAACCAATAACAAATGTTAAATTTTCACTAAAATTTCCTTGCAAAGAAAAGTTTAGGTGCAGATGTCTTCGAGGGTGATCTCTTAAAATATTTTCAATGAAGAAGGAATATCAAGTCATCATGTTTCGCAATTGGTAGAAAAACCATTGTGTGATTATTTTGCTCCGGTGACAACGTACTTTATTTACCTTTTAGTGCCTTTGGATGACCATGTGTAAAATTGGTCAAAAAATTACCCTGAGTGAATCCTCTGTTCTATGTCATAAAGTAGCACAGAGACTTGAACTAAGAAAATGTCTGGTGTCTATGAGCTCTCTGTCCCTCCCCAAGAGTTAAAATACAGAGAACGAAAACTACATGTGGACTAGATACCCGTCTTGGAGATGGCAGGTGTCCTGTGTGAATTAGAGAAGCTGCATTTCAGAGTCTGGTGCCCAGTGAGACCCTGTGTGCGCAGCCCTATGCTGGCCTAAAGAATAGGGGCATGAAGGGAGCATAAAGACACATCCTCCTTCTTAGAGGTGCCATGACTTTGGGGACATGGGAAGGAATGTGTCCCCAGTGCAAGTGCACATTATATGCATAAGAAAAATTGGGGGTGTGGACTGAACTGAGAAAGGTGTGTAGGGGAGAACCTTGAGAAGGGACATGCACAAATGGCCACTTTTGGAAAGTCTAGAGCAGCACACAGAGCCATCAGCCTGGGGGTGCCTGTTAACCAAGTTAAACTGAGTGGGTATAAACTACACAGGCTGAGGCCCTCACATTTGTATCACATACTTGTGTTGTGTTGTGGAAGTAGCTTTAAAAAAAATGAATCAACTCAGAGTCACTCAACTGCCTTGAACTGGCATCAACATCAAAGATTATATTTATCTTTTGTTGGAATATGCAAAGGGATGAAAATAAGGGCTGACATTTATTGGGTGTTTATGTGCTTTAGCAGGAATGGCCTCGAAACTTTAATAAAATCTTCATAACTATTTTATCTGCACTTTATAGCTGTTAAACAAGACTGATTGACAGAGGCCAGCGCCCAGTGCTGCCTGAATAAGTGCTGGCTTCCTCATGCTGGAGGAAAGCCAGGTCACACTGCTTCTCACATGGCCTATCAGCAGGTCAGTGTCCCCTGATACCTCGACAGAGCTCAAGTGCCTGCACCTAGCTCAGGTCCTCCAGCCTCGATGCAGGCTCCTCCCCAGGGTCTGACAGGAACTCAGGCAGTCAAATTATTCTCTTTCCTTAATCAGGAGCTGAGGGACCTTCCCTGTCCTTCAAGTGGGTTGTAAACTGGTGTCCTTCTGGCTATTCCCTGGAATCAGGGACAGACACAGCAAGTTCAGGAGGCAATGGACTCACAAGGATGTCTTGTTACTATTTGTTGCTGGTCTTCCCAGCAGAAGCTGAGACTCAGGCACTGATTAGAAGGTGACTGATGTAACAAGGAACAACACAGGGTGAAGTGAGCAGGGGATTCTAGGTGAGCAGAGTGTGTCCTGTGCTCATAGATCAGAAGTGTCCTCCAGGTGGATCAGTGTGTGAGAGGAGTGGATGAATGCTCCCTCACAATAGGTCTGTGTGTGTGACTTCCCCTTATGTCAGACAGAGAGTGGAAGGAACGAGTAGTCAAAGAGACTGGAAACAGATTTGGAGAGAGCTAAATGCATGTTATTCTTTCCCCCTCTTTGCCACAGGACATAAGCACCAATTGTGCCCCCCTAGAGCACATGGGGACGGCTGGTGGCTGTGATCCGAGTCTCTTCATCAGCCCTTTCATCTCAAACATCTACCCCCCTCCTCCAAAACTCCCACATGTTCACCTCTGACTACTCATCTCAGGTAAGGAAAGGGACTGCAGATGGTAAAGAGAGAAGATGTGCTCCCTACTCTGGAGCAGGATTCCTGCATTAATCCATGAGCAGCAGGGGAGGGAGGACTTGTAATATTTACAGAGTCATTTGGTAAGTGTTCATGAATAGAGGATATTGCTGTTTGTATGACTACTTCTCACTTTTCTACCTCTCCTCTTCTTTCCCAGCAGAGACATGAGAAACATGAGATGGAGAACCAGAGCAGCGTGTCCGAGTTCCTCCTCCTGGGGCTCCCCATCCGTCCAGAGCAGCAGAGCCTGTTCTTCGCCCTGTTCCTGGGCATATACCTGACCACGGTGCTGGGGAACCTGCTCATCATGCTGCTCATCAAACTGGACTCGCACCTCCACACCCCCATGTACTTCTTCCTCAGCCACTTGGCCTTCAATGATGTGTGTCTCTCATCTGTCACTGTCCCTAAGATGCTCACCAACATGCACACTAATGACAAGTCCATCTCCTTTGCAGCGTGCATCTCCCAGACCTATTTTTTAATATGGTTTGGTTGTTTTGACAATTTCCTTCTTGCAGTGATGGCCTATGACAGGTACGTGGCCATCTGTCAGCCCCTCCACTACACCACCATCATGAGGCAGGAGCTGTGTGTCCTCTTAGTAGCTGCATGTTGGTTCTTCAGCAACCTGCACTCTCTGTTGCACACCCTTCTCTTGGCTGGAGTGTCCTTCTGTGCTGACAATACCATACACCACTTCTTCTGTGATCTCACTACACTCCTTAAGATGAGCTGCTCAGACATCTCCATCAATGAGTTGGTCATCTTTTATGAGGGGGTGGTGATCGTCCTCTCGCCTTTTGGTGGTATTGTTGGCTCCTATATCCGGATTTGGACCACTGTCCTGAGAGAACCCTCTGCTAAGAAATTCTTCAAAGTCCTTTCTACCTGTGGCTCCCACCTCCTCGTTGTGTCTTTGTATTGTGGGACCATTGCAGAAGTTTACCTTTTTTCTTCCTCAGACCCCTCCAGTGATGAAAAGGTAACTGCTTCTTTGATGTATATGGTTGTTACCCCCTTGCTGAACCCCTTCATCTACAGCCTGAGAAACAGAGACATGAAACGTGCCCTGGAAACACTTGTGAATCGGGTTAAGTTCCTTATGTCAAAAGACTCAAGATGAACATGTTAATAATCACCCTCTCTGCTGACTGACACCAGCTTTCATCAACCAGACTGCCTCAACGATTCTGACATTTTCTTAACAATTCTTGGAGTAGATGATGCCTGATTGCTACATCACAGGTCTTGGGGTAGGAGAGGAGGGAGGATGTGAGTCCCACCAACTCCATGAAATCCCTGCTTTTCCGTTAATAGTTAGGACTTTAGTTCTTTTCAAAAAAATTTTTCAGAGGTGCTTGAAATGTTCTCCATCTTATTTGGCAATAGTAACAATGGAGATACACTTATGTAAAGTTCATCAGGCTACACATTTCAAATTGCAACACTTAATGCGTGCATGTTAGGCAATACACAAAAGGGAAGGGTGAGAAGAACTCAATAAACTATGTTTACTATTTAATGAGTTCAATCATTATGGTGATGTGAGTGCATAAAATTGTATAAATTGGGGAGTGTGTATTTTACAGATAATGTATGTGACCATGGCAATATGAAAATAATATATATACTATATACACAAATTATATGTTCACATGAATATAGAGATATATTTATAAGATATCACCATATAATATGAATATCATTCTGGTAAAGAAATGCTCCTAATTTTTGTACTTAATTTTTTCATAACTCTCAATTTTCTGTCTTTCACTCCCTCAAGAAAACAAAAGGCTTTACTTAAATTGTTATCAGGCATCCAGTGTGTAGTTGTGGGTGTGATTAGAATATGCTGATTTGGTACCTTCCTTGTTGCTCACCCACTAGAAGAGCTGAAAACTGATTCAACCAACTTTTCAGGCAGAGGTTAGGGTCAAGGGGAGGGAGACTGACTGCTTCCAATTATCACCTAACTAAGCCTCAAGCTACAGCTAATAAGCAATAGCAGCAATACAGGGATGAAGGAATCAGAAGACAAAAGAATGTTGTCTTTATACGCAGTAAGAATATTTTTAGTAATCGCTACCAACCTGGAATATATTCTATAAAAGAGAAGGTGAAATGAAGAAATTTGCAGAAAAACTAAGGAAATTCGGCAGACTTATACTAATGGAAAATCAAGGCTAATGCTCTAGATGTAACAGTGATTATATAAGAATACTTGAAAATTCACAATGAATGGAGGAACAAATAAAAATAAAAATTTTCATAATATTAGTTAAGATAAAAAAGAATGTTTCCCGATTCAAAAGTTTCAATGATAAACATTGCAATCCCTTAAAAGGCTTACAATTTTTCTGTTGGTTTTTTTTTTTTTGGTGGAAATTGACAAATTGTTTCTAATTTTTTGAAGGAGATGTGAAGAACCTGGGTTACTCAAAACAGTTTTGACAAGAGGATGTGATCAATCTTCCCCTAAAGTATGAGCTGATAATAAAACTACAGTAATCAAGTGAGAATCATGTTAGAGAATAAAGATGAAAAAATAGATCAATGGAAAAGAACAGAGCCAATGAAAGGATCCATACTGTGTAGACCAGATATTTCATAGAGGAACAAGGGCATCAGTGGAGGAAATACAGTGAAGAGTGTTGAAGTATTTGAATATACATAGTCACCAAAATGAACTTCCAGCCAAACTTGCACTCAATGTAAAATATAAAGTATTAAAATAGAAAATACTCTTCATATAAAATCTCATATTATTAATATTTTAGAAGAAGATATGTGATAAAATCCTGTGATATGGGTTAAGCAATTGGGCAAAAGTTTGATCAAATGTGTCACCAGGTAATTATAAGACATGATTAGATGCAGCACATTATTAGAGATCAAGTAAGTGAATTAAAAATCCCAAAGTCTCATCACTGCACTCCCACCAGAATGCTAAATTTACAGAACTGGCCATAATAAAAGTTGACCAGATCTGCTATAATCTTAAAGTTAAAAACACTGATCAAACTAAGGGTTATGAAGGATTCAACCTCTCAAACACTGTGAGGAGGAAAAGTGATAAGACAACTAGTAGTTTCTTAAAATGTAGACCTTGAACTGAAGCATTGACTCACTCTTAGGTAATTACCCATTAGACACAAGTCTATGTCCATTCAAAAATGGTTTATATGTTCAGCTTATGTTAAGAGATTCAAGGGAGAAATAATCCAGTGCTAACCAATATTTGATACACATGAAATATTATTAAGCAATAAAATGATGTATTGTTGATACAGCAACGTTGATATGTCTTAAAAAAACATACTAATGAAAGAAGTCTGCCAGAGGATAGCCCATACTATGTGATTCCCTTTATGGAAATTTCTAGAACAAGCAACCTATAGTGAGAGTAAGCGAGCCAGGGGTTGCATGATTATAGCAGGAGAAGTAAAAAGGGGATAGGGGTCATAGTATGGGACATGGCCATCTGCAGGGTCACACATGGTATCTCTACTTCATTGACGTGATAATTTCACAATGAATGCATCCGGCAAACTGTTCATTTTAATAATTGAAAGCTTATTGTGTATCAACTAACAAAGGTAAAACAAATGAGATGCAGTTAACTTGAAAAGTCCTAAACCAATGAGAAAATTTAAATTTTCACTAAAATTTCCTTGCAAAGAAAAGTTTAGGTGCAGATGTCTTCGAGGGTGATCTCTTAAAATATTTTCAATGAAGAAGGAATATCAAGTCATCATGTTTCGCAATTGGTAGAAAAACCATTGTGTGAATATTTTGTTCTGGTGATTTCGTACTTTATTTACCTTTTAGTGCTTTTGGATGCCCATGTGTAAAATTGGTCAAAAAATTACCCTGAATGAATCCTCTGTTCTATGTCATAAAGTAGCACAGAGACTTGAACTAAGAAAATCTCTGGTGTCTATGAGCTCCCTGTCCCTCCCCAAGAGTTAAAATACAGAGAACGAAACTACATGTGGACTAGATACCCGTCTTGGAGATGGCAGGTGTCCTGTGTGAATTAGAGAAGCTGCATTTCAGAGTCTGGTGCCCAGTGAGACCCTGTGTGTGCAGCTCTGTGCTGGCCTAGAGAATGGGGACAGGAGGGGAGCGTTAAAGATACATCCTCCTTCTTAGAGGTGCCATGACTTTGGGGACATGGGAAGGAATGTGTCCCCGGTGCTAGTGCACATTATATGCATAAGAAAAATTGGGGGTGTGGACTGAACTGAGAAAGGTGTGTAGGGGAGAACCTTGAGAAGGGACACGCACAAATGGCCACTTTTGGAAAGTCTAGAACAGCACAGAGCCATCAGCCTGGGGGTGCCTGTTATCAAATTAGACAGAGTGGGTATAAAACTACACAGGCTGGGGCCCTCACATTTGTATCACATACTCGTGTTGTGTTGTGGAAGTAGCTTTGCAAAATAATGAATCAACTCACAGAGTCACTCAACTGCCTTGAACTGGCATCAACATCAAAGATTATATTTATCTTCTGTTGGAATATGCAAAGGGATGAAAATAAGGGCTGACATTTATTGGGTGTTTATGTGCTTTAGCAGGAATGGCCTCGAAACTTTAATAAAATCTTCATAACTATTTTATCTGCACTTTATAGCTCATAAACAAGACTGAGAGAAGTGACTTTACTTATTTAGGATGAATAATTGATCGAAAGAGGCCAGTGCCCAGTGCTGTCTGAACAGGTGCTGGCTTCCTCATGCTGGAGGAAAGCCAGGTCACACTGCTTCTCACATGGCCTATCAGCAGGTCAGTGTCCCCTGATACCTCCACAGAGCTCAAGTGCCTGCACCTAGCTCAGTCGCTCCAGCCTCGATGCAGGCTCCTCCCCAGGGTCTGACAGGAACTCAGGCAGTCAAATTATTCTCTTTCCTTAATCAGGAGCTGAGGGACCTTCCCTGTCCTTCAAGTGGGTTGTGAACTGGTGTCCTTCTGGCTAGTCTCTGGCATCAGGGACAGACACAGCAAGTTCAGGAGGCAATGGACTCACACAGGATGTCTTGTTACTATTTGTTGCTGGTCTTCCCAGCAGAAGCTGAGACTCAGGCACTGATTAGAAGGTGACTGATGTAACAAGGAACAACACAGGGTGAAGTGAGCAGGGGATTCTAGGTGAGCAGAGTGTGTCCTGTGCTCATAGATCAGAAGTGTCCTCCAGGTGGATCAGTGTGTGAGAGGGGTGGATGAATGCTCCCTCACAATAGGTCTGTGTGTGTGACTTCCCCTTATGTCAGACAGAGAGTGGAAGGAACGAGTAGTCAAAGAGACTGGAGACAGATTTGGAGAGAGCTAAATGCATGTTATTCTTTCCCCCTCTTTGCCACAGGACATACGCACCAATTGTGCCCCCCTAAAGCACATGGGGACGGCTGCTGGCTGTGATCCAAGTCTCTTCATCAGCCCTCCCTCCTCCAAAACTCCCACATGTTCACCTCTGACTACTCATCTCAGGTAATGAAAGGGACTGCAGAGGGTAAAGAGAGATGATGTGCTCCCCGCTCTGGAGCAGGGGTTCCTGCATTTATCCATGAGCAGCAGGGGAGGGAGAAATTATAATATTTACAGAGTCATTTGGTAAGTGTTCATGAATAGAGGATATTGCTGTTTGTAGGGCTACTTCTCACTTTTCTACCTCTCCTCTTCTTTCCCAGCAGAGACATGAGAAACATGAGATGAAGAACCAGAGTGGCGAGTCTGAGTTCCTCCTCCTGGGGCTCCCCATCCGTCCAGAGCAGCGGGGCCTGTTCTTCGCCCTGTTCCTGGGCATGTACCTGACCACGGTGCTGGGGAACCTGCTCATCATCCTGCTCATCAGGCTGGACTCGCGCCTCCACACCCCCATGTACTTCTTCCTCAGCCACTTGGCCTTCAATGATGTGTGTCTCTCATCTGTCACTGTCCCTAAGATGCTCACCAACATGCACACTAATGACAAGTCCATCTCCTTTGCAGCGTGCATCTCCCAGACCTATTTTTTAATATTGTTTGGTTGTTTCGACAATTTCCTTCTTGCAGTGATGGCCTATGACAGGTACGTGGCCATCTGTCAGCCCCTCCACTACACCACCATCATGAGGCAGGAGATGTGTGTCCTCTTAGTAGCTGCATGTTGGTTCTTCAGCAATCTGCACTCTCTGTTGCACACCCTTCTCTTGGCTGGAGTGTCCTTCTGTGCTGACAATACCATACACCACTTCTTCTGTGATCTCACTACACTCCTTAGGATGAGCTGCTCAGACATCTCCATCAATGAGTTGGTCATCTTTTATGAGGGAGGGGTGATCGTCCTCTCACCTTTTGGTGGTGTCGTTGGCTCCTATATCCGGATTTGGACCACTGTCCTGAGAGAACCGTCTGCTAAGAAATTCTTCAAAGTCCTATCTACCTGTGGCTCCCACCTCCTCGTTGTGTCTTTATTCTATGGGACCATTTCAGAAGTTTACCTGTTTTCTTCCTCATCCACCTCCAGTGATGAAAACATAACTGCTTCTGTGATGTATATGGTTGTCACCCCCTTGCTGAACCCCTTCATTTACAGCCTGAGAAACAGAGACATGAAACGTGCCCTGGAAACACTTGTGAATCGGGTTAAGTTCCTTACGTCAAAAGACTCAAGATGAACATGTTAATAATCACCCTCTCTGCTGACAGACACCAGCTTTCATCAACCAGACTGCCTCAATGATTCTGACATTTTCTTAGCAATTCTAGGAGTAGATGATGCCTGATTGCTACATCACAGGTAGATAGGATGTGAGGAGGAGGGAGGATGTGAGTCCCACCAACTCCATGAAATCCCTGCCTTTCTGTTAATAGTAAGGATTTTAGTTCTTTTCCAAAAAAAATTTTCTGGGGTACCTGAAATGTTCTCCATCTTATTTGGCAATAGTAACAATGGAGATACGCTTATTTAAAGTTTATCAGGTTACACATTTCAAATTGCTACACTCAGTTTTCCCATGTTAGGCAGCACACAAAATGAAGGGTGAGAAGAACTCAATAAACTATGTTCACTATTTAATGAGTTCAATTGTTATGGTGATGTGAGTGCATAAAATTGTATAAATTGGGGAGTGTGTATTTTACAGTTAATGTATATGACCATGGCAATATGAAAATAATACATATACTATATACACAAATGATACGTTCACATGAATATAGAGATATATTTATAAGATATCACCATATAATATGAATGTCATTCTGATATAGAAATGCTCCTAATTTTCGTATTTACTTTTTTCATAACTCTCAATTTTCTGTCTTTTACTCCCTCACGAAAACAAAAGGCTTTACTGAAATTTTTATCAAGCATCCAGTGTGTAGTTGCAGGGGTGATAAGAAAATGCTGATTTGGTGCCCTTCTTGTTGCTCACCCACTAGAAGAGCTGAAAACTGATTCAACCAACTTTTCAGGCAGAGGTTAGGGTCAAGGGGAGGGAGACTGACTGCTTCCAATTATCACCTAACTAAGCCTCAAGCTACAGCTAATAAGCAATAGCAGCAATACAAGGATGAAAGAATCAGAAGACAAAAGAATGTTGTTTTCACACATGCAATTTGCAGCAACATGGATGGAGCTGGAAGGGATCATGCTCAGCGAAAAAGCCAGAAAGAAAAAGAAAAATATTGGATAGTCTCATTCATAACAGGAATCTAGAAAACCTAAATAAGGGAGCAAGAAAAATAATAGCTATAAGAAAGAAAAAAGTCAAAATCAACAAACAACTGTGAACCAGAGACACACTTGGGGGGGTGGGGGAAGGAGGGTTTGGGGTCAAAATCAGGGGGTTGCAATTGTATGGGGAATATAAAAATAAAATAAGAATGTTGTTTTTATATGCAGTAAAAATATTTTTGGTAATCTCTACCAACCTGGAATATATTCCACGAAGGAGAAGGTGAAATGAAGAAATTTATAGAAAAACTAAGGAAATTCGGTAGACTTATACTAATGGAAAATCAAGGCTAATGCTCTAGATGTAACACAGTGATTATATAAGAATACTTGAAAATTCACAATGAATGGAGGAACAATAAAATTTTTCATAATATTAGTTAAGATAAAAAAGAATGTTTCCTGATTCAAAAGCTTCAATGATAAGCATTGCAATCCCTTAAAAGGCTTACTTTTTCTTTTGGTGGTGGAAATTGACAAATTGTTTCTAATTTTTTGAAGGAGATGTGAAGAACCTGGGTTACTCAAAACAGTTTTGACAAGAGGATGTGATCAATCTTCCCCTAAAGTATGAGCTGATAATAAAACTACAGTAATCAAGTGAGACTCATGTTAGAATAAAGATGAAAAAATAGATCAATGGAAAAGAACAGAGCCAATGAGAGGATCCATACTGTGTAGACCAGATACTTCATAGAGGAACAAGGGCAATCAGTGGAGGAAATGCAGTCTACAGTAAAGGGTGTTGAAGGATTTGAATATACATAGTCACCAAAATGAACTTCCAGCCAAACTTGCACTCAATGTAAAATATAAAATATTAAAATAGAAAATATCCTTCACATAAAATCTCATATTACTGAAATTTTAGAAGAAGATATGTGATAAAATCCTGTGATATGGGTTAAGCAATTGGGCAAAAGTTTGATCAAATGTGTCACCAGGTAATTATAAGACATGATTAGATGCAGCACATTATTAGAGATCAAGTAAATGTGAATTAAAAATCCCAAAGTCTCATCACTGCACTCCCACCAGATTGCTAAATTTACAGAACTGGCCATAATAAAAGTTGACCAGATCTGCTATAATCTTAAAGTTAAAAACACTGATCAAACTAAGGGTTATGAAGGATTCAACCTCTCAAACACCGTGAGGAGGAAAAGTGATAAGACAACTAGTAGTTTCTTAAAATGTAGACCTTGAACTTAAGCATTGACTCACTCTTAGGTAATTACCCATTAGACACAAGTCTATGTCCATTCAAAACTGGTTCATACGTATTCAGTTTAATGTTAACAGATTCAAGTGGGAAATAATCCCGCGTTAATCATTTGATACACATGAAGTATTATAAGGCAATAAAATGATGTACTGTTGATATAGCAACTGGGATGTGTCTCAAAGTAACATACTAATGAAAGAAGTCTGCCAGAGGATAACCCATACTATGTAATTCCCTTTATGGAAATTTCTAGAATAAGCAATCTATAGTGAGAGCAAGTGGGTCAGGAGTTGCATGGTTATAGCAGGAGAGGTAAAAAGGAGAGGAAGGGTCATCATAGGGGACATGGCCATCTGCAAGGTGATGAACGGTATCTCTATTTCACTGCCATGATAGTTTCACAATGAATGCATTTGATAAAACTGATCAACCTATTCATTTTAATAATCAAAAGCTTATTGTGTATCAAATGAAAACTTACAAAGGTAAAACAAATGAGATGAAGTTAATTTGAATAATCCCAAACCAATTAGAAAATTTAAATTTTCATTATAAAGCAAAGTTCACAGCTGTTTTTTTCATATATCTTCAATGAATACCAAGTTCTGTTTCACAATAGGTAGAATAATCATGGTGTGATTATTTTGTTCTGGTTGATTCTTACTTTATTTACCTTCAAGCGTTTTTGGATGATCATGTGTAAAATTGGTCACTAAATTATCTTGAATGAATCCTCTGTTCTGTGTACATAAAGTAGCACAGAGACTTGAACTAAGGAAAATCCCTGGTCTCTACGAGCTCCCTTTTCTGGATGCTAGAGTTAAAAGACAGAGAAATGAAACCAATGTGTGGACGAGATACTTGCCTTGGAGACGGCAGGCAACCTTCCGTCTGGACTAGAGAAGCTGCATTTCTCAGTCTGTGTGTGCAGACTGAGCCCCTTGTGTGTGCAGCCCTGTGCTGGCCTAGTGTATGGGGGGCAGAGGAGAGTGTTAAAGACACATCTTTTTTTAGAGGTGCCATGAATTTGGAGACATGAGAAGGAATGTGTCCCCAGTTCTGGGGACATTATAAGAAAATTGGGGGTGTGGACTGAACTGGGCAAGGTGTGTAGGGGAGAACCTTGAGAAGGTGATGCACAAATGCCCACTTTCTGAAGAGTCTAGAGGAGCAAGGAGCCATTCAGTCCTGGGGTGTCTGTTACCAGGTTAAACCGAGCTGGTGTAAAAGTGTACTGGCTGAGCCACTCACATTTGTATCCCATACTCGTGCTGTGTTGTGGAAGCAGCTTTGAAAAATAATGAATCAACTGACAGTCACTCAACTGCCTTGAACGAGCATCAACATCAATAATTATATTTATCTTTTGTTGGAATATGCAAAGGTAATGACAATAAGGGCTAACATTTATGTGCTTAATAGAAGTGATCTCGAAACTTTAATAAAATCTTCATAACTGTCACATGTTTATTATCTGCACTTTATAGCTGATAAACAAGACTGAGAGACGTGACTTCACTTATTTAGGATGAAGGAGTCCAGCACCCAGTGCCGTCTGAATAGGCGCTGGCTTCCTCATGCCGGATGGAGGAAGGCCAGGTTATCCTGCTTCTCAGGTGGCCTATGAGCAGGTCAGTGTCCCCTGATACCCTGACACCACTCAGGTGCCTTCAACTATCTCAGTCCTTCCAATCTCTATGCAGGCTCCTCCCCAGGGTCTGATAAGACTGAGACAATCAAATTACTCTTTTTTCCTTAACCAGGAGCTGAGGGACCTTCCTTGTCCTACAAGTGGTTATAAAGTGGTGTCCTCCTGGCTGTTCTCTGGCATCAGGGACAGACATAGCAAGTTCAGGAGGTGATGGACTCACACAGAATGTCTTCTCAGTTCTTTCTTGCTGGTCTTCCCAGCAGAAGCTGAGGACTCAGACACTGATTAGAAGGTGACTGATAAAAGGAGGAACAACACACGGTGACGTGGGCAGGGATTCTAGGTGAGCAGAGTGTGTCTGTGTGCTCAGAGGTCAGATGTGTCTTCCAGGTGGGTCTGGGTGTGATGGGTGGATGGACGTTCCCTCACAAATATGTGTGTGTTTGTGACCTCACCCTCATGTCAGACAGAGCAGGGAAGGAAGGGCAAGAAACGAAACGGAAGAGTTTCAGGGAGAGTATGAGTTGGAGAGAAGTAAATGACATGTTATTCTTTCCCCCACTTTGCCCAGGACACAAGCACCAACGGGGTCCCCCATGAAGTATGTGGGGGCCACTGCTGGGTGTGATCCGCAGTTTTTTAATCAGCCCTTTCATAACAAACATCTACCTCCCTCCTCCATAACTCCAACATGTTCACCTCTGACTACTCATCTCAGGTAAGGAAAGAGACGGCAGAGGGTAAAGAGAGAAGATGTGCTCCCAGCTCTGGAGCAGGGATTCCTGCATTTATCCATGAGCAGCAGAGGAGGGAGGATTTGAAATTGTTACAGAGCCATTTGGTAGGAGTGATCTTCTATTTTCTTCGAGTAATAAACGCATGTCACTTCACGGTATGGGGTGTGTGTGTATGTATGTGTACTATATGTGCGGGCTGACGCTGAATTTGCAGATATTTTTTTCTGTGGTTATAACTTTCACCTGACAGACTAAAGCCTTGCTCATGAACTATTATTCATCTTTCAACACTGGTCCATTTCTGTTTGGGAGGAAAGTTCCCGTGAGTCTCCGCCACCAGGCAGGTGCTTAATGGATGGGACCCTCAGTGCCTGCAGCAGGTCCTCTGGGCCCAGTCCTCATCTGGACCTTACATGTTTCCTCCCTGACATTCAGATCCCCCCTGGGAAAGGAGGTAACTACTCCCTCATACAGTACAATTTTGAGTGCTACATGATGCAATCCACACAGACTGTCCACACCACACCTGGTTCGTGACTGGTGCTCTGTAGAGACAAGGATTCTTATTATCTTTCCCCCAAGCTAGTGCCAGTGTGATGAGATCCCTATTTCACTGCTGTCTGGGGCAGGACGAGTAGAAGTCTAAGAACAGGCGCCTCTGCACACCCCTCAAGCCTAGTTGGTCCAGTTGCTTCCTGCTTGCTTCCTCTGTTTCTCAGTGAGGCTGACACAGCACACGTCAGTGGGCAGCCAGGCCTCCACATGGAAGTCCAGAAACTGTCCTCTCAGTGGCCGTGAACCAAGATAAGCAGATGCCTCAACAAGCTCATGGTTCCTGAGGAAGCCTTGCTGTCCTGCTCCACTGCTTGAGTCAGTCAGTCAGTCTAGATTCCTTCTTCAGCTTGTGTGTGTGATCCTATTCTAACCTCACTGCCAAAAAAGGCTGAACCTGGAATCCATCTGTGGTCATCTCGCTCTTTGGCTGTTGCTTTAAGTCATTTATGAAATGAAGAAATAATATTTTCTGAATGTTTCATACAATCTCTAGACATATTTCTACTTTTTGAAATTAAAGTATGTGAGATCCCTCTGTAAATTGCATGATGGTAATTATGATTGATAACTCTAGGACCAACAGAATGACAAATGATGGCACTCAGCGTTCTGATTTTACAGAGATACTCTCTATTTTTAGGGGAGATTCAATATTCACGTACCTTTGTCCAAAAGGAAAATGTACTTTTGCTCCTCAGACATAAAAGAGTTATTAGAGTGCTGATTAATTAGTGCTATGATGAAGATGTAAGCAAATCCTGTATGGAAAATCTTAGGCCGATACCCGTATAGTGAATGTTAAAGATAAATATTTGACATTATTTGAAAGTTGGTTTGGGGACCCGGTGGACTCTGTGCTGAAAGAGAATATTCAATATCTATGATCAGTAAGGATTCTGCCATTTCACTGTAAGCTTATCACAACTTCTTAGCTCTTCTACTCCATTTAGGGTGTTAACTATATTTTGCAGACAAAAGTGCTGACTTATGTGTCCTGGGTCACTCATGATTTTGCCATGTCATGCCAGTTTTTGATTTTGATTAATATTGATATGATGGTGCACAAGCCTTGAGTGTTAAGACTTTGAGTTTTTGTCCACTTTGAGGAACTCACTGCTTTGTGCCATACCTAGAACAAGGCTGTGGTTCCACAAATAATTCTGTAAAAGAAAATATGTCCTCTGATTCCATGGAAATAAAAATTGTAGGAAAAGGGGAGAGTATGGTATACCATTGAGTCTCTACAGTGAGAGACTGTTTTGAACCCATCAATAGCTGTGAGCAAAAAATTTAAAAATTCACATGTTCATATAGAGCGGATATTGCTATGCTTTTTTTGCTACTCCTAACATCGCTACCTCTCTTCTTCTTTCCCAGGAGAGACACGAGCAGCATGAGGTGGGAGAACCAGAGCAGCGTGTCCGAGTTCCTCCTCCTGGGGCTCCCCATCCGTCCAGAGCAGCGGGGCATGTTCTTCGCCCTGTTCCTGGGCATGTACCTGACCACGGTGCTGGGGAACCTGCTCATCATCCTGCTCATCAGGCTGGACTCGCGCCTGCACACCCCCATGTACTTCTTCCTCAGCCATTTGGCCTTAAATGATGTGTGTCTCTCATCTGTCACTGTCCCTAAGATCCTGACAAACATGCACAGTGATGACAAGTCCATCCCCTATGCAGCGTGCATTTCCCAGACATATTTTTTAATATGGTTTGGTTGTTTTGACATATTCCTTCTTGCAGTGATGGCCTATGACAGGTATGTTGCCATCTGTCACCCACTCCACTACAATACCATTATGAGGCCGGAGCTGTGTATTTCCTTGGCAGCTGGGTGCTGGTTCTTAAGCTGTCTCCACTCTCTGTTGCACACCCTGCTCTTGGCTAGAGTGTCCTTCTGTGCTCACAATGCCATACACCACTTCTTCTGTGACCTCACTACACTCCTGAGGATGAGCTGCTCAGACATCTCTATCAATGAATTGGTCATCAGTATTGAGGGAGGGGTGATTGTCATGACACCTTTTAGCGGTGTCGTTGGCTCCTATATCCTCATTTGGACCACTGTTCTGAGAGAACCCTCTGCTAAGAAATTCTTCAAAGTCCTTTCGACCTGTGGCTCCCACCTCCTCGTTGTGTCTTTATTCTATGGGACCATTGCAGAAGTTTACCTTTTTTCTTCCTCATCCACATCCAGTGATGAATACATAACTGCTTCTGTGATGTATATGGTAGTCACCCCCTTGCTGAACCCCTTCATCTACAGCCTGAGAAACAGAGACATGAAAAGTGCCCTGGAAACACTTGTGAATCGGGTTAAGTACCTTATGAGTTAATAATCACTCTCTCTGCTGTCATAGACCAGCTCATCAACCAGACTGACTCAATGATTCTGATATTTTCTTAACAATTCTTGGAGTAGATGATGCCTGATTGCAACGTCACAGGTCTTGGGGTTGGAGAGTAGGAGGATCTTCAGCGGCAGGAATTAGGATGGAAAGTCCTTTAGGCCCACCAGCTCCATGAAATCCCTGCCTTTCTTCCCTTCGCTCCTCATAGTCCGTGGAAGGAGGGGCTCAGAAAGAAAATCATAAAAATCTCTGCTAGTGTAAGTTGAATTTCCCATAATAAACTTCTGATTACTCACAGCTTTTTCCTCTTAAGTTGGTTTTACAATTGTTTACCTGCATATAATAAATTTGTTCATGGATGCAATTTTGAAAGATTCCTGTTATCAATAAGTACTTTAGTTCTTTTCAAAAAGAAATTTTTTGGGGTGCTTGAAATGTTCTACATCTTATTTGGTAGTAGTAACAATGGACATACACCTATGTAGAGTTCATCAGACTATACATTTCAAATTTATACACTTAGTATACGCATGTTAGGCGGTAACACAAAACAGAGTGGTGAGAAAAACTCAATAAATTCAATTACAATTCTATGAGTACAATCCTTATGGTGATATGAGCGCATAAAATTTTACATATTGGGAAGTATTTTACAGTTAAATTATGTGACCTTGGCAATATAAAAATAATGCATAATATATGCACATGATATATTCATATAACTATACAGAGCTATATATTTATAAGACAACAAATAATATGAATGTCATTCTGGTAAAGAAATGCTCCTAATTTTCCTACTTTTGTTTTCATTTCTCCCCAACTTTCTGTCTTTTACTCCCTCATGTAAACAAAAGCCTTATATTATTATCAAGCATCACATGCATAGGTATGGGTGTGATCACTCTGTGCTGACTTAATAACTTTCCTTTTAGTTCACCCAGTAGAGAAGCTGGAAGAGTGAACTCTACCAACTTTTCAGGTAGAGGTGAGGGTCAAAAGTGACAGAGCCGGATGCACCCAATGGTCACCAAACTAAGCTAAAAGAATGAGCTTATATGCAATAGCGGCAATAGAAGAATGAAGGAATCAGAAGACAGAAGAACGTAATTTTTATATGTAACAAAAATATTTTTAGTAATCTCTAGCAACCTGGAATATATTCTACCAAAGAGAAGTTAAAGTAAAGATATTAGCTGAAAAACAAACTGACAAAATTCAGGAGATTTATACTATGGAAAATCGTGGGTAAGCTGTAAATATAAGGTAGTGATTACATGAGAACACTTGAAAATTCACAACAAATTGGGAAGCTGATCTAGTTTTTGAAGGAGATGCCAAGAACGTGGGTTACTCAAAATAGTTTTGACGAGAGGACACGTGAATCTTCCTCTAAAGTATGAGCTAATCGGACCTCCCTGGTGGTGCAAGGGGTTAAGACACAACCTATGAAATATCCGCAGCCACTGCAGCACGAGTTCGATCGATCTCTGACCAGGGAGCTACCAACGTGGCACAGCAGACCTCTCCTGACTCACCCGCTGCTCCTCTCAGCAGTGTATATCAGTCAATCTGCCTGTTCTGCTCCTTACTCTGTCTCTGGTGAAATCTCACACATCCCCACTTCTGGCCTGTATCCCAGTTTTTGTATATATGAATAAACCCTTAAAAATTTTTAAAAATAAAGTATAAGCTGATCATAAAATTACTGTAATAAAGTCTGACTCATGTTAGAATAAGGATGAAAAACAAAATAGGTCCATGGAACAGAACAGAGCCTATAAACAGATCCTTATTTGTAGACCAGGTAATTCATAGAGGAGCAAGGGTAATCAGTGGAGGAAATACAGTCGACAGTAAAGGGAGTTGAAGGAGTTGAATACCCACAGTCGCTAAAGCAAACTTCCAGCCAAATCTTGCACTAAATGTAAAATGTACAGTATTAAAATAGAAAATACTCTTAATATGAAATCACAAATAAAAATTTTTTAGAAAAACACATGGGATGAAATCCTGTGATATGGCTTAAACAAGGGCCAAAAAAGTGAACAAATGCTTCACCAGATAAATATAAGACATGATTAGATGCTGCATATTATTAGAGATCAAGTAAATGCAAATTTACTTGACAAAATGTCATCACTACGCTCCCAGTAGAATGCTGAATTTACAGAAATGGTCATAACAAAAGTTGACTAGATCTACCATAATTTAAAAAACTGATGTATGTTAGGGTTTTGAGGGAGTTCAAACTCTCATACACTGCTTCTGAGAATGAAAACCGATATGACAACTTTGAAAACAATAGTCGTTCATAAAATCTGACCAGGTTCTTACATTGGAATCAGCCATCTCCCTCTTAGGTAATCATCAGTAGATGTGAAAGTCTATGGCCATTCAAAACTGGTTTATAAATGTTCAGCTTAATGTTAATAGTATCAAGTGGAAAATAACCCAGTGATAACCAATGTTTGGTACACGTGAACTATTATTCAGCTATAAAATAAAGAAATATTGATATAGCAACTCTGATATCTCTTAAAGCAACATACTAATGAAAGAAGTCTGCCAGAGGATAGCCCATACTATGTGATTCCCTTTATGGAAATTTGAGAACAAGCAAACTATAGTGAGAGTAAGCAGGTCAGGGCTTGCATGGTTAGAGGAGGAGAGGTAAAAAGGGGAGGTGGGGTCTGAGTATGGGACATGGCCATCTGCAGGGTCACACACGGTATCTCTACTTCATTGACATGATAGTTTCACAATGAATGCATCTGGCAAAATGATCCAACTGTTCATCTTAATAATGGGAAGCTTACTGTGTATCAAATAAAAACTAACAAAGGTAAACAAATGAGAGCAGTTAAATTGAATAGTCCTAACCCACTTAGAAAATTTAAATTTTCATTAAAATTTCCTTACAAAGAAAAGCTTATGTGCCGATGTCTTCATGGGTCATTTTTTGCAAATATTTCCAATGAAAGAAGAACACATGGGATGAAGTTATTATGTTTCACAATCCACAGAAAAATCGTTGTGTGGTTATTTTTTCAATAATTTGAAAATTATTGAAAAATAACTTACCTGTTAGCATTTGCGATGATTATTTGTAACCTTGGTCACATGGCTAAATTACCTTGAATGAATGCTCTGTTCCAGAGACTTGAACTGAGGAAAATCCCTGGTCTCTATGAGGACTCTGTCCCTCACCAAGAGTTAAAAGACAGAACAAAAACTACCTGTGCATGATCCCTTCCAGCTCCATCCATGTTGCTGCAAATTGCAAGAGTTTTATCATTTTTGATTGCTAAATAATATTCCATTGTGTACATGTACCACATCTTCTTGATCCAGTCACCTATTTTTGGGCATAGCTCAGTGAAATAAGCCAGAAAGAAAAAGAAAAATACCGATGGTCTCACTCATAGCAGGAATTTAGAAAACCTAAATAAGGGACCAGGAAAAAGACTAGTTATAATAAAGTAAAAATCAACAAGCAACTATAGACCAGAGACACACTATGGGTGGGGGCGGGGAAGGGAGGAGGATTTAGGTTCAAAAAAAGTGGGGTAGCTCTATGGGGAATATAACCAAGAGGAAAATGCATACATTGTGCAAAAATGAAAAATGATGTAAAAAATACAGAAAATAAAATTTTAAAACTGGAGAGAAAAAAAAAACTATATGTGGACGAGCTACTTGCCTTGGAGATGGCAGGTGTCCTTTTGTCTGGACTAGAGAAGCTGCATTTCAGAGTCTGATTCCCAGTGAGCTCCCTGTGTGTGCAGCATAGGGTATGGGGGGCAGAGGGGTGTGTTAAAAGCACATATTTTCTTAGAGGTGCCATGACTTTGGAGACGTGGGAAGGAATTGTCTCCCCAGTTCTAAGGTACTTTATATGTATAAGAAAAATTGGGGGTGTGGACTGAACTGGGCAAAGTGTGTAGGGGAGAACCTTGAGAAGGGCCATGCACAAATGTCCACATTCTGAAGAGTCTAGAGCAGCACAGAGCCATCAGCCTGGGGGTGTCTGTCACCAAGTTAAACCGAGCTGGTGTGAAACTGTACTAGCTGAGTTACTCACATTAGTTTCACATACTCGTGTTGTGTTGTGGAAGTAACTTTGAAAAATAATTGATCAATTGATTAAGTCACTCAACCACCTTGAACTGCAACAACAGCAACAATTATATTTCTCTTTTGTTGGAATATGCAAAGGTAATGACACTAAGGGCTGACATTTATTGGGCGTTTATGTGCTTTAGCAGGAATAACCTCAAAACTTGAAAAATTTTTATTATTATCATACTTTAATTATCTGCACTTTATAACCAATAAACAAGACTGAGAGAAGGGACTTTACGTTTTTAGGATAACCACAAATGAGTGACAGATTCCAGCACCCAGTGCTGTCTGAACAGGTGCTGGCTCCTCATGCTAGAGGAGGGTCAGGTCACGCTGCTTCTCAGGTGGCCTAGGAGCAGGTCAGTGCCCCCTGACACCTCCACACCGCTCAGGTGCCTCCAACAAGCACAGTCTACTATCCAGTCTCTATGCAGGCTCCTCCCCAGGGTCTGATGCGAACTGAGAAAGTCAAACTACTCTCTTTCCTTAACCAGGAGCTGAGGGACCTTCCTTGTCCTTCAAGTGATTATAAAGTGGTGTCCTCCTGGTATTCTCTGGCATCGGGGACAGACACAGCAAGCTCAGGAGGCGATGGACTCACACAAGATATCTTCTCAGTTCTTTCTTGCTGGTCTTACAGCAGAAGCTGAGGACTCAGACACTGATTAGAAGGTGACTGATGTAAGGAGGAACGACACACGGTGAGGTGGGCAGGGATAGGTGAGCAGAGGGTGTCTGTGTGCTCAGAGGTCAGAGGTGTCCTTCAGGTGGGTCTGTGTGTGATGGGTGGATGGATGTTCCCTCACAAATATGTGTGTGTTTGTGATCTCACTGTCATGCCAGACAGAGCAGGGAAGGAAGGGAAGGGAATGAAACAGAAGGGCAGTCAGAGAATCTGGAGATAGAGTGGGAGACGTTAATGACATGTTATTCTTTCCCCCTCTTTGCCCCAGAACTGAAGCACCAACTGGTCCCGCAAATAGCACACTGCTGAGTGTGATCTGCGGTCTCATCGTCAACCTTTCATCTCGACCATCTACCTCCCTCCTCCATAAACCCCACATGTTCACCTCTGGTGACTCATCACAGGTAAGTAAAGTGACTGCAAAGTGCAAAGAGAGAAATTTGCTCCTGCTCTGGAGTAGGGGTTCCTGAATTTACCCATGAGCTGCAGGGGAGGGAGGAACTGAAACTTTCACTGAGTCATTTGGTAAGTGTGATCTTGTATTTTATGAGTTATAAATGCAAAGCACTTGAAGTTTTAGTGTGTGCATTTGTGCGTGCATTTGTGCGTGCGTGGGTGCAGCCCGTGTGTGTGTGTGTGTGTGTGTGTGTGTGTGCGCGCGTGTGTGTATAGAGTGTATATGTGGGGGCTGATGCTTCATTTGCAGATTTTTTTCTGTGGTGGTAACATGACCTCATGGATCCAAAGCCTCCCTCATGGATCACATTAACCATCTTTCAACACTGGTCCATTTCTGTTTGGGAGGAAGGTTCCCGGGAGTCTCTGCCACCAGGCAGGTGCTTAATGGATGGGACCCTCAGTGCCTGCAGCAGGTCCACTGGGCCCAGTCCTCATCTGGACCTTACATGTTTCCTCCCTGACATTCAGATCCACCCTGGGAAAGGAGGGGTAACTACTTGCTCATACAGTGCAATTTTGAGGGCTACATGATGCAATCCACACAGACAGTCCACACCACACCTGGTTCGTGACTGGTACTCTGTAGAGACAAGGATTCTTATTATCTTTCCCCCAAGCTAGTGCCAGTGTGATGAGATCCCTATTTCACTGCTGTCTGGGGCAGGACGAGTAGAAGTCTAAGAACAGGCGCCTCTGCACACCCCTCAAGCCTAGTTGGTCCAGTTGCTTCCTGCTTGCTTCCTCTGTTTCTCAGTGAGGCTGACACAGCACACGTCAGTGGGCAGCCAGGCCTCCACATGGAGGTCCAGAAACTGTCCTCTCAGTGGCCGTGAACCAAGATAAGCAGATGCCTCAACAAGCTCATGGTTCCTGAGGAAGCCTTGCTGTCCTGCTCCACTGCTTGAGTCAGTCAGTCAGTCTAGATTCCTTCTTCAGCTTGTGTGTGTGATCCTATTCTAACCTCACTGCCAAAAAAGGCTGAACCTGGAATCCATCTGTGGTCATCTCGCTCTTTGGCTGTTGCTTTAAGTCATTTATGAAATGAAGAAATAATATTTTCTGAATGTTTCATACAATCTCTAGACATATTTCTACTTTTTGAAATTAAAGTATGTGAGATCCCTCTGTAAATTGCATGATGGTAATTATGATTGATAACTCTAGGACCAACAGAATGACAAATGATGGCACTCAGCGTTCTGATTTTACAGAGATACTCTCTATTTTTAGGGGAGATTCAATATTCACGTACCTTTGTCCAAAAGGAAAATGTACTTTTGCTCCTCAGACATAAAAGAGTTATTAGAGTGCTGATTAATTAGTGCTATGATGAAGATGTAAGCAAATCCTGTATGGAAAATCTTAGGCCGATACCCGTATAGTGAATGTTAAAGATAAATATTTGACATTATTTGAAAGTTGGTTTGGGGACCCGGTGGACTCTGTGCTGAAAGAGAATATTCAATATCTATGATCAGTAAGGATTCTGCCATTTCACTGTAAGCTTATCACAACTTCTTAGCTCTTCTACTCCATTTAGGGTGTTAACTATATTTTGCAGACAAAAGTGCTGACTTATGTGTCCTGGGTCACTCATGATTTTGCCATGCCATGCCAGTTTTTGATTTTGATTAATATTGATATGATGGTGCACAAGCCTTGAGTGTTAAGACTTTGAGTTTTTGTCCACTTTGAGGAACTCACTGCTTCGTGCCATACCTAGAACAAGGCTGTGGTTCCACAAATAATTCTGTAAAAGAAAATATGTCCTCTGATTCCATGGAAATAAAAATTGTAGGAAAAGGGGAGAGTATGGTATACCATTGAGTCTCTACAGTGAGAGACTGTTTTGAACCCATCAATAGCTGTGAGCAAAAAATTTAAAAATTCACATGTTTATATAGAGCGGATATTGCTATGCTTTTTTTGCTACTCCTAACATCGCTACCTCTCTTCTTCTTTCCCAGGAGAGACACGAGCAGCATGAGGTGGGAGAACCAGAGCAGCGTGTCCGAGTTACTCCTCCTGGGGCTCCCCATCTGTCCAGAGCAGCGGGGCATGTTCTTCGCCCTGTTCCTGGGCATGTACCTGACCACGGTGCTGGGGAACCTGCTCATCATCCTGCTCATCAGGCTGGACTCGCGCCTCCACACCCCCATGTACTTCTTCCTCAGCCATTTGGCCTTAAATGATGTGTGTCTCTCATCTGTCACTGTCCCTAAGATCCTGACAAACATGCACAGTGATGACAAGTCCATCCCCTATGCAGCGTGCATTTCCCAGACCTATTTTTTAATATGGTTTGGTTGTTTTGACATATTCCTTCTTGCAGTGATGGCCTATGACAGGTATGTGGCCATCTGTCACCCACTCCACTACAACACCATCATGCGGCCGGAGCTGTGTGTTTCCTTAGCAGCTGGGTGCTGGTTCTTAAGCTGTCTCCACTCTCTGTTGCACACCCTGCTCTTGGCTAGAGTGTCCTTCTGTGCTCACAATGCCATACACCACTTCTTCTGTGATCTCACTACACTCCTGAAGATGAGCTGCTCAGACATCTCTATCAATGAGTCGGTCCTCAGTATTGAGGGAGGGTTGATTGTCATGACACCTTTTAGTGGTGTCGTTGGCTCCTATATCCTCATTTGGACCACTGTTCTGAGAGAACCCTCTGCTAAGAAATTCTTCAAAGTCCTTTCGACCTGTGGCTCCCACCTCCTCGTTGTGTCTTTATTCTATGGGACCATTGCAGAAGTTTACCTGTTTTCTTCTTCAGCCCCCTCCAGTGATGAAAAGGTAACTGCTTCTGTGATGTATATGGTAGTCACCCCCTTGCTGAACCCCTTCATCTACAGCCTGAGAAACAGAGACATGAAACGTGCCCTGGAAACACTTGTGAATCGGGTTCAGTTCCTTATGTCAAAAGACTCAAGATGAACATGTTAATAATCACCCTCTCTGCTGACAGATACCAGCTATCATCATCCAGACTGCCTCAACAATTCTGACATTTTCTTAATAATTCTTGGAGTAGATTATTGACATGCCAGATTGCTATGTCACAGGTCTTTGGGTTGGAGAGTAGGAGCATCTTCAGTGGCAAGAATGAAGACGGAATATCCTTCAGTCCCACCAACTCTACGAAATCCCTTCCTTTCTTCCCTTCGCTCCTTACAGTCCATGGAAGGAGAGGATCAGAAATAATATCATAAAATATTCTGCTGATGTAAGTTGAACTTCCCATAATAAACTCCTGATTACTCACAGCTTTTTCCTCTTAAGTTGGTTTTACAATTGTTTACCTGCATATAATAAATTTGTTCATGGATGCAATTTTGAAAGATTCCTGTAATTAATAAGTGCTTTAGTTCTTTTCAATAAAATTTTCTGGGGTGCTTGAAATGTTCTACATCATATTTGGTAGTAGTAACAATGGATATACGCCTATGTAAAGTTCATCAGACTATACCTTTCAAACTTATACACTTAGTGTACGCATGTTAGACGGTAACACAAACAGAGGGGTGAGAAAAACTCAGTAAACTCAATTACAATTCTATTTTTTTTTTAAATATTAAATTTTATTTTTATATTCCCCCATACAATTGCAAACGCCCCATTCTGACCCCAATCCTTCCCCTCCCGCCCCCCACCCCCAAAAAGTGTCTCTGGTTCATAGTTTTTTGTTGATTTTGATTTTCACTTTCTTATATTCATTTTCCTGGTCCCTTATTTAAGTTTTCTAGATTCCTGCTATGAGTGAGACCATCCGGTATTTTTCTTTTTCTTTTTGGCTTATTTCGCTGAGCATGATCCCTTCCAGTGCCATCCATGTTGCTGCAAATTGCATGTGTTTATCTTTTTTGAATGCTGAGTAATATTCCATGGTATATATGTACCACATCTTCTTGATCCAGTCATCTATTTTTGGGCATTTGGGTTGTTTCCAAAGCTTAGCTATTGTAAACAGTGCTGCTATAAACATAGGAGTGCAGGTGCTCTTTGGAATTGATGTTTCTGTGTCCTTTGGGTAAATACCTAGGAGTTGAATTGCTGGATCATATGGAAGCTCTATGTTTAGTAGGTCCAGAAATCTCCACACAGCTCTCCATAGTGGTTGGACCAGTTTGCACTCCCACCAACAGTGCACAAGAGTTCCTTTTTCTCCACACCCTCGCCAACATTTGTTGTTGCTAGTTTTTTTAATATGTGCCATTCTCACTGGTGTGAGATGGTATCGCATGGTAGTTTTGATTTGCATTTCCCTGATTACAAGTGATGTTGAACATTTTTTCATATGTCTGTTGGCCATTTGCATTTCCTCTTCAGAGAAGTTTCTTTTTAGCTCTTCTGCCCATTTTTTGACTGGATTATTTTCTTTGTTGTTGCTGAGTCTCATCAGCTCTTTGCAGATTTTTGTGATCAGTCCTTTATCATTAGTGTTGGGTGCAAAAATGTTCTCCCAGTTGGTGGGGTTTCTCTTTGTTTTTGTTATTGTCTCTTTTGCTGTGCAGAAGCTCTTTAATTTGATGTAGTCCCAGCTGTTTATCTTTGCCTTCACTATCACTGCTTTGGGTGATGTGTCTGTAAAGATGTCTTTGATGTGCAAATCCCGTAGTGTTTCGCCTATATTTCCTTCTATGTATTTTATGGTTTCAGGTCTTATGTCTAGTTCTTTAATCCATTTTGAGTTGATTTTTGTGTATCGTGTGAGGTAGTGGTCAAGCTTCATTCTTTTGCATGTAGCGACCCAGTTTTCCCAGCACCATTTATTGAACAAACTTTCTTTGCTCCAATGCATAGTCTTTGCTCCTTTGTCAAAGATTAGTTGACCATAAATCTGTGGGTTTATTTCTGGATTTTCTATTCGATTCCATTGGTCTGTATGTCTGTTCTTGTTCCAATACCATGCAGTTTTGATGATTATGGCTTTGTAGTATAGTTTGAAGTCTGGGAGTGTGATGCCTCCATTTCCTTCTTTTTTTTTCAGTAGAGCTTTGGCTATTCGGGGTTTTGGTGATTCCATATGAATTTCATCAATAATTGTTCTATTTCTTTGAAGAATGCCATTGAGATTTTGATTGGAATAGCATTGAATCTGTATATTGCTTTTGGTAGGATGGCCATTTTAATAATGTTTATTCTTCCAATCCATGAGCAGGGGATGTCTTTCCATTTCTTTGTGTCTTCTTCTATTTCTTTTAACAGTGTTTTATAGTTTTCTTTGTATAGGTCCTTTACCTCTTTTGTTAGATTTATTCCCAAATATTTGATTTTTTTTGTTTCGATAATAAAAGGGGTGGTTTTTTTGATTTCTTCTTCTTCAGATTTATTGTTTGTGTATAGGAAGGCTACTGACTTTTGCGTGTTGATTTTGTATCCTGCCACTTTACTGAATTGATTGATGAGTTGAATTAGTTTTTCTGTGGAGATTTGGGGTTCTCTATGTATATTATCATATCATCTGCAAATAGTGATAGTTTGACTTCTTCTTTTCCTATTTGGATTCCTTGGATGTCTTTCTCTTGTCTTATTGCTCTGGCTAGGACTTCCAGTATTATATTGAAAAGCAGTGGTGAGAGTGGACATCCTTGTCTTGTTCCAGATCTTAATGGAATTGCTTTCAGCTTTTCACCATTGAGAATGATACTGGCTGTTGGCTTGTCATAGATGACCTTTATGATGTTGAGGTATGTTCCTTGTATCCCAAGAATTTCAAGGGCTTTTATCATGAATGGGTGTTGCACTTTGTCGAAAGCTTTCTCAGCATCTATTGATATTATCATATGGTTTTTATATTTCTTTTTGTTGATGTGTTGGATAACGTTGATTGATTTTCGGATGTTAAACCATCCTTGTGCCCCTGGAATGAATCCAACTTGGTCGTGGTGAATTATCTTATGGATACATTGTTGGATTCTGATAGCTAAAATTTTATTGAGGATTTTTGCATCAGTGTTCATTAGGGAGATTGGCCTATAGTTTTCCTTTTTTGTGTTGTCCTTATTCGGTTTTGGTATTAGTGTAATACTGGCTTCATAGAACGTGTTTGGTATTGTCCCTTCCTTCTCAATTTTTTGGAAGAGTTTGTGAAGGATAGGCACTAATTCGTCTCTGAATGTTTGGTAGAATTCATTTGTAAATCCATCAGGTCCTGGGCTTTGTTTTTGGGGAGGTTTTTAATTACCATTTCAATTTCGCTGCTTGTAATTGGTCTGTTTAGGTGTTCTATTTCTTCTTTATCTAGCTTTGGGTGATTGTAGAGTTGTAGGAATTTGTCCATCTCCTCTAGATTGTTGAACTTGTTTCCATATAACTGTTCATAGTAGTTACTGATTATTCTTTTGATTTCTGCTGTGTCCGTTGTGATTTCTCCTCTTTCATTTATGATTCTGTGTATTTGTGCTTTCTCCCTTTTTTCCTTTGTGAGCCTGGCTAGGGGTTTGTCTATTTTATTTATTTTTTCAAAGAACCAGCTCTTGGTTTCATTGATCTTTTGGATTGTTTTTTTAGTTTCAATTTCATTTATTTCTGCTTTGGTTTTTATTATTTCTTTTCTTCTACTGGTTCTGGGGTTTTTTGTTGTTCTTTTTCTAGATCTTTGAGCTTCGAGATTAGGTTGTTTCTTTGAGTTCTTTCTTGTTTTTTGATGTGAGCTTCTATTGCTATATATTTTCCTCTTATTACTGCTTTTGCTGCATCCCATACATTTAGGATATTGGTGTCCTCCTTGTCATTCAATTCAAAGAATTTTTTAATTTCTTCTTTGATCTCCTTGTTAGTCCAGTGGTCTTCCAGTAGTGTGGCTTTTAATCTCCATGAGGTAGGATAGTTCCTTGCCTTCTTTTTATGATTTATTTCTAGTTTGATGCCTTCGTGGTCAGAAAAGATGGTTGGTATGATTTCAATCTTGGTGTATCTGTTGATGTTTGTCTTGTGCCCCAGTATGTGATCGATCCTGGAGAATGATCCGTGTGCGCTTGAGAAAAATGTGTACTCCGTTTTTTTTGGGTTTAGTGTTCTATAGATGTCTGTTAAGCCCAAATGCTCTAGGTCCTTATTTAGAGCTTTAGTTTCTTTACTTATTTTTTGTCTTGTTGATCTATCCATTGTTGATAGTGGTGTGTTGAAGTCTCCCACTACATATGTGTTTTCTCTGATGTCTGTTTTCAGAGAGGACAACAGTTGTCTGATATATTTTGGTGCTCTTTCGTTTGGTGAGTATATGTTAATGAGTGTTATTTCTTCTTGAAGTATTGTCCCCTTAATCATAATGTAGTGACCATTGGGGTCTCTTTTTATTTTTTTGAGTTTGAAGTCTGTTTTATCTGATATAAGTATAGCTGTTCCTGCTTTCTTTTTTGGCCCATTTGCTTGTAGGATTGTTTTCCATCCTTTGACTTTGAGCCTATTTTTATCTTTTGTAGCTAAATGTGTTTCCTGGAGACAGCAAAAGGTTGGGTTTTGTTTCTTAATCCAGGCTGCAACTCTGTGTCTTTTTATTGAAGAGTTTAGTCCATTTACATTTAGAGTTAATATTGATATGTTAGCATCTGTATTTGCCATTATGTTTGTCTTTCCTTTGATTTTATTTATTTATTCTTTTAATAACTTTTTTTTTTTTGGTCTTCTTTCGTTGTTATTCGTCCCTCTGAGGTTCTGGCTTTAGGATTCCTTGTAGTATTTTTTGGAGTGGGGGTTTAGTCGCAATGAAATTCCGGAGTTTCTCTTTGTCTGGGAAGGTCCATATTCTTTCTTCATGGAGGAAAGAGAGCTTTGCGGGATAGAGTATTCTTGGTTGGCATCTGTTTTCTTGGAGTCTGTTGACTACGTCCCTCCACTCTCTCCTTGCCCGTAGTGTTTCTTCAGAGAAGTCTGATGTCAGCCTGATTGGTTTTCCTTTGAATGTTATCTGTTTCTTCCCTCTTGTCAGCTTCATTATTTTTTCCTTGTCCTGGATTCTTGGGAGCTTTACTATTATGTGTCTTGCTGTGTTTTTCCTTTCGTCGTGGAAGTTTGTTGTTCTTCTTGCTTCTTGTATATCAATTTTCAGCTCCTTCTTCTCATTTGGGAAGTTCTCTTCAATTATATCCATGAATATTTTCTCTGTTCCTACATCTCTCTCCTCTCCTTCTGGAATTCCTGTAACTCTTATATTTCCTTTCCTCATGGAGTCAGATAGTTCCCGAAGTCTTTCTTCATTCTTTTTCCTTCGTACTTCTCTTTCCTTTTCTGTTTTGGTTCTTTTTA